AAGGTAAAGGTTAAAGTCTTAGCAGCAGAACTTCGGGCACATAACTTTCATCCAATCATATTTAGGGTATCCAAAGGTGCTCAGTTTTTGTTACATTTCCAAGCCATCCGTTTCACCAACTTTGTAACTGAAGTCTTTTCAGCAGAACTTCTGGGACAAGATTAATCCAAATAAAGATGTCAAAAGACGCTGAGTTTTTTTAAACATTGTCCATGAACAGTTTTACAGACATCAAACCTCAATAATAAAAGGGAGGCCGCGCTTACGTTGTGAAGTAACTTCGCTAGGGGCGTTTTATGGTGTGTATTGCAATGAACATGAACACATTCCTGAATGGATGGAACTTTGCAACATGTTTTGTAAAAAAAATTGAATTCGTTGTACGTGATAAATAAAAGCTGAGGACATTACTGATTCACTATCCGGTTCGTAAGTGTGACGTCACTTCAGTTTAAACCACGCCCACTGCACATGCACTGCACATAGAGTTACATGCATTGATCGCTGTTAACATGGAACCATGGAACCGGAAGTTAACACACTTCAGCGATCATCCAGTGCGAGAATCATGACGCGTCCGCATGTATGACGAAGTCACGAACCTCGATAGAGGCGAAAAGGTGGCGAAATTTCGGAGGGCGGGGATGGGGGGGGGGTATCTGAAAAGTATCAAATGAACAATTTCATTGTATGAGTTGTGTTCATTTCGGATTTTAAGTATGGGGATCTATGGGCCACGGACACCGGGGGGGGCTGTACTAAAGGTGCTCAACTACACAAGTCTTAACTGTATGATTCTGGAGGTTGTATAGCTTTGACACTGGAGTGTCAAAATGGCAACTTTCCACAAATAAGATGGCTCTTTCTCCTGCAGTGCGATACTAATGGTTATGTAATTGCTCGCGTTCTTAATTCGTGCACAATAATCTAGAGACATATAAACAGAAACAAAGCAGAACTCCAAAATTCCAGAGGTTAATTAACGTTCACAAGTTAGAAATGAGATAGTTACAGCGCTGGTGACGGAGTGGAGTCGACAATGAGTAGCAGTGGGGAGGGGACGGGGATGTGACCCTAATATTTTAGCTGTCCAATGCAATATCTCAATGGTGTTGAAATGATCTCGAGTGCTATTGGAATAATTTCGTGTGGCAATAAATTAACATCGTGAAGTGTCGAAGAAATGGTTTAAGAGTTCGGTAGCGTAAGAATTCAAAAACAAGGAGGACCCTTTGGAACAATGTATAACAACAGACACACTGCAACTTTGGTTTTATGGTTAAAGGTAAACCGTGAAAAGATTCTTTAAATTTGCCACACGGAAGAACGTGAACGATGCATATCCATACGCATGATGCAAGTCTATACCATAAATTTGCCTTTTCATTCAATATGAAGAAAGTCTTTGTTGCGAACAAGGAAATTAAAGTGCTTGGATTCACCATGGTCTGATCTTAACACGTCTGGGATTGAACCCGACCATTCTTGAAATTTCCACATTTTACCGAATTTGTCAGTCTGTCTGCTTCCCGCCAATTTCCTTCGAAGCTTAAAGATTAAACACCGTACATGCGCACGGCAAAGGATGTGGGCCTTCCCACCAGTCTCTTTTGTAGAAGTTGCCTACGCCTACTGTGTTTTCTTGTCCACGCAATCCGAGGAAAGGCACTGCGGGTTTCGTCACTTTCGCTGCGCCAAGGTTGAGTCCTGCACGAACATCCACGTAGACTGTTCTGGCAACATACTGGGATGACACCATGTTGGGGCGCAGTGGTACGCGCGCATTGCATGGTCCCTAAACCAATGTGGTATTGTGATTAATGTACGCTTTATAACGCGCGCATGGGTTTGGCACCGTTGCAATAATTGCAACTTTTTGTACTAAAAATGTAAAAAGCCAAGTTTGAAAATGTAATCGTGTTGGATGACCGCCCTCCTCTAATTCGTTGGTCGTGGAGTTTGTCCGTTGTATGCCTCCTCGACACATTAAGATACTGTAGCAACATTTTCTGTCGAACGCTTGAGTCATTGAACTTACATGCATAAATACCTTAGACAGTTAACCCATTCCTATTGGTCCAGAGCTCACCACATGGCCGGCCTTAAATAAGGGAATAAATTTGTCCTTGGCCAGTCTTAAATGTTTAAGACCGACCAGCTCTGGAGATACGAGAACTGACGCTGATTAGTGATCCTAGTCAAGGACGCGTGGAAGTCATCAGCGTCCATTCTCTTGAGCCGCAGTGGTAGAATAAACCGGCTCGAGCACAGGTTTATTTCCATTAATGAATACCATTTTAGTGAATTAATGGACTTGGCCAGGGCTGGCTGGAATTTTTTCCTTGGTCAGGGTAAGCCCTGCTATAGAAGGTGACCAAACCAAGTTCTGCTTGGACAGGGTTAGAATTAGATAAATGTTTTGTAATTAAGAAATTAGCAAAATGGGTCTCGCAGGGTCAAGTCAAAAAGTTAAGAAGTTAGGATTATTCCACAATTATTCCAATTTTACTGCTTCCCCCATCCTTCCATCCATGTTATGGTTTTGTGGCCCTCGCGAGTAGTCATGAAAGATCGCCTTGTATGGAGATTGGCTTAGGCGTCTCGTGCACTGCATGGATGGTGAAGGAACAGCGTCAGTCAATGTATTATGTAGTGAGAAATGGCGCCTCTCATAAGTACAGCGCAAACACGAGTGAAGGCTGTGATTTTTCAACCACAATACAAGGAAGAGGGACCAGATCTCACGGAGTCAAATTCTCACGTAACACTGGAAAAGTGTGTTTATCCGATTTCTGCTGCTTTATCAGCTCTCGACCAGTCAGAATAAAGGAACTCGTAAGATAGGTTTACGCTATGTTCCCGGCGGCCTCGACAATCACGTTTCTGGCCACCGTGGACAAAAAGGTATGTGTATGTACTTGACACAACGCGGGGTGACGGGATGGGCAAACGTAATAGTCCGTGATTGCCGTGGATGCTGGGCCACATTTTTGAACTGCCAAAAATGTTGCCACGGCAGTCACGGTGCGGATGAGAAATCTAGCAGGCCGTATAGTTAAACCGGGTGAACGCAGCAAAGCGTGACAGTACGCGATAGGCCGAATAACAAAACTTGAAGACGGCCCCTAGAGTAAATGAGAAGCATGCATTCCCTGGCATCTCACGGTCCTTTCAAGTTTTGTCACGGTTGTTGTGCGTTTTGTCCCGTTTTGCCACGTTTTGTCACGGTTCTCAAGGCAAACTAGTGTGTACGGTGACGGTTTCGTCGAGTTCAGTTCAATTTTAATAGCCTATGCACTTTGTGAAATTTTGTGAAAGCCCCGAAAAATTTGGAGTGAGAGAGGTTTCATATTTTCAGAACCATTTTACATGAATTGTAAATTAAAACTGTTAAAAGAGCGATAAAATTGTTAAGAGCAATGAAGCTTGAGCGCGCGCACGAAAAGCACCGACATGATACACAAATGCACCCCCATATAACTGTTTACTGTACCTCCCAGCTGAAAAATTATTTACCTCAGTTCTCAAATTAAGTCATTTTTTCAAATTCACTACTGTCGGACTACATTCAATTGTAGAACTGTTTTGATTGTCGTCACTGAAAATGCAATTTGTAGATGTAAAATTGCAGACTGTGTTTTCTTCTCTTGCCGAACGACCCTGTGGATCACCATTGGGACAGTAAAGGTCAGTTTACTCTGGTGAACGGTCCGGCTGATGTCATTAATGTGACGTGTAGAATTACAGACGACGAAACAAGTCATTTTACCGGTGACCCATGAATATGGATAGGAAAAAGCACACAAAATACATGCGTAACGGCAGCTTATAGGGAATTTTTTGGTGGGTGGTTGAATACAGAAAACGTATTTATGAGCTTTGGCTCTGTTTTCTTTTCTTTGTAGAACAAAAAGTCTTACACTGGGAGGAACTGTATACTGGCAATTGACTCATATGTTTTTGAATCTGATATGTTTCACACTGCAACTTGTCGACCTATGCACACTTCCCGCCCATTTCCTTTAAAGTACAGTTGTCAGAATTATTGGTTTATGCTGAGTAATTCTAGTGAAGACATGCAGTATCATACCCAGGCTTGGGGTTGGAGTGGGTGAGAAACGGAATTGTTGGAGGAAGTATCCCGGAAACATTTTGTCTGCTATGTACCCCCAATGGGTTTGCCACTATATTATATCTACAACGCAATGAAACAATTTAAAGGCAATCATTAAACACCTGTCAAAATAACACAGTCTCCCACATTGTATGGAAAAGGAAATAATGGTGTTTGTTTAAGATACACTGACGAACGTGGAAACATGGAACAGTATGTTTCTTTACCATTTGAAGGGGAGATAGAGACAGTCTCCTGCTTCCACTTTAGCCTCCAAGAACTCCAGATTTCGAAGCCCAGGGAATTTGTTCAAGTCGACTCGTTCGACGTCTACGCTCGAGTAGAAGCCCTCCGGATGGTCGTACAGAATCTACACAAAGATTTATCGTGAGATGACACCAATAATCGATACTTGTACCAAATTTAAAGCTTAATTGCGCTCGCGTTCTTTTGAATATATTGTTAGGGTGCTTGAAGCTTGAGAAGGTAACGGACATCAGCGAATGGCTCCAAATCATTGTCATTTTCTTCCTAATCTCTACACATTTAATATTTTTCTAATTAAAGGTGGCCCTATCCGTTAACTCTTCCTAGATTTCTCGCACCAAAACCTACGCAAGGTCATTACTCTGAAACACAGCACTTCATAGGAAGGTCATGGAAGTATGCATCCGCATGTTCGTCCTACTTTGCCCTTGGCTTGTCAAGCACAATGTTGGATTTGTTGAAATGAGTAGAACTGTCGTTTACCTGGTCTCTGTACCTGGTGTAATTGACAAGCAGGAAGTCTTTCTGTCCTCTAAACACACAGTTGATGATGTCGACGTAATCGGTGTGCAAGTGAGACTTGGTCCCGCCGCTACTAATCCACAGCATCTGTTGAGACAAATTAAGTAACGGTGTGTTTAAGAGACGATGTCTTTTTGTTTTTAATGTGTAGTTGCAGTAGTTGTCATTCCACATTTTGTGCCGTGGATTTGTAGGAATAGAGATGTCATCAATGAAATCAATGAAAACGCACCTTTAGCTCCCATTTAACCCTATTTTTCAAGAGAATACGAAAGTATTTATGCTAGTTTATGGGTAATTCCAGAAATTAGGGGTCCATTTCGTTTTCGTGTCCCTGTCACACCGGACATATGATTTTGTAAGTTCAGAATACATTTTATAATTTTAGAGTGATGAATTCATGCAAATTCCCTGCCAAACAAGTAGTAATACTATGAAATCAATTCCAGTGATATTTCCATGTCGAATAACAAAGGTCCGATGTAATAGGAATACAAAAAGTCACACTTTTGGACCTCTAGTTTCTGGAATTACCGATTTTCATATACAAAGATGTGAGAAACCCTTAAAATTGCTGTGATATTTCAGCACAAAATTTGTGAGTAGATTGGAAAATCCACTGTCTTAATTTTTGTTCTTTAATGACTTTTGTTGTTTAGTTCATGACAGTCTAGGTCATTTAACAAAGTTCTGTCGGAAGTATTTCCAGTGAACGAATAATAGGGTTTTCGACAGAGATCCCCTTATAATAAAAAAAATGTTTTCCCAAATGACATGGTTGCAATAGCACCCCATTTGTCATGGAGAATTTTAATGTTTTGAACAGTGCATTTTCATCCAAAAAGATGACGAATACGGGTGATTCACAATAGTGCGCCTATCCAAGAGTTTGCAACGCGTTGCCAATCACGACGCGCAAATCTGTCCACCCAATACGCGTTTGGAAAGGGTCGACAGATTTCGCGCGTCGTGATTGGCCAGCACGTTGGAAACTCTTGGTGGCGCACTATTGTGAAACGCCCGAATTGTTTTCACACAGTTTAAATAATGTCAGGTTGAACAAAATGTGTCTAAGAAGTCTCATTGGCCGTTTACACGATAGTTAGTGCGAAGTTGGATCCATTTAGTTGGTCCATCGGCTTCTAAATCAATCAATTCTTTATTCGCAAATCAAACATTTTCGGGGCATTGCATTTTCAAACTTATCAGATTGCCTACTACATAACATGACTGTAGTCCCCGTTACTTACCGTCTCCAGCATATTGGCAGTGATGTAAGCACATTGCAACGATGGCGGGAGTAACACATCCTTCCTTAAAAAAAAAATTGGAGAAAGATATAATACAAGCCACACTTTTGACATTTTTGATTTTTTGAAAAAAAAAAGTTTTAATAAAGGAACAATACAAGCCACAGTCCTGGGACATTCTGCCCAGAAAAAACACCTTAGCATTGCTTAGCAATCAAACTTTAAGAGGATCAGGAAACAACGCAATAACAGTGCATTTGGGTTGAAAGATAATGCTCAATTTATGTTGATCTCGCTTTCGCTGATACATGGAAGAAGATTCCGCTGCATGTCTTTGTGTTTGTCAAAAAACGCATATTTCTACAAATAAAGTACTTTTGGGCTGAGAGCTGCTTTCTTACACTTACTTTAAGTAATCTGGAACTTTTGCTACAAGGTATTCATCGTGGGTTTGATATCTGTCGAGGAATTCAGCCAAGGGCATCTCCATTCTCGGTAGTTGTCTTTCCTCCACCTTCCGCATCTCCACACGGATCAGTTCCTGAGACTCGGGCAAGCTCTTCAGGTACTCGTCGGTCCATTTCCGGAAGGCCGGCGAACGCCGCGCTCCCTGCCTGACTAGTACAGGAACTGAAGGGTAGACATAGTCGCGAAAGAACTCGAACGGGGAGGGGAACTCCTCGATGACCGAGACGGGGAGTCGGGTAGACTCGGAAGCCAAAGGCTTCAGATGGCCGGGTGGGAACGAGGTCGGGGAAGAGGACTGGCCGTAAGAATGAGTAGATTGAACATCCTCAGCAACTGAGAAATGCAAGGACGCCACGAGCCAGATTGTGATGGAGAGTATGGGAAATATTTCTGCAATCTTCATGGTGAGAGTGATGTAGGAGTAGTCGCAGGTTGATGACTTTACAAAGCTGTGCTAGTTCTGAATCTGAGTTACCGGAAATACATGTTTATGCAGATTTCATACATGAAATAACGGACTACCTGTGGTTAAAAGGACAAGTCGAACAGATACCAGGGACGAGAGGTTTACTGTCTTGTTTGGAGTCCGTTAAGGATTGGGGATACTGCCCAATAAGATCATTTGACAGGACTCACCGCTCTGCTGGGATGGAGTCTCTCATTCCTAATTATGCAATTTCCGTGACGTCATGTTTCCCATGTTCAATCACCGTTCTACATTATGGTTCATGTTGAGGGCCGGCACTGCAAGTGTTGCTCTTGAAATTCAAGTTATTCGTGACCAGTATATAATTGCCTGAATCTGAAACGCCCCCAATCCGTTTCCTAGAACAAGCCACTGGTGACTGGGCGGAGTCGAACCACCTAATATAAAGTTGAACAAGTAGAAAACTGACCTCACAAGCAGTCTTGGAGATGGAAGTGAAGACAAGTCTTTGTCCCGTCGTTTTTTTTCTCGTGCTTCTTTCTCTCCCAGCATCGGGTATGTTCTATTCACACTGCTAGTGTTCTTGATAGCTGGAATTGACTATATGATTTACGGTCGGCCGTTATGCAGGACTGCAAAGGCGGTTCCACTTTTAAGCAACACCAGACATTACTGTACGGTTTTGAAAAATGCAGCACGCTCCATGCTTGGCAGATCGTTTTTTGGTCTGTCAAGCGGCCACCGGTAACAGTGAGCTTCTCCACCAGGGCAATGGGTTAACACTGTTGTTTCCATTCCTGGCTCTCTGTAAAGGGCATCCGTTTTAAAGTGGTATACTGTTAAAACTGTTAGATTCTATTGTCAATTGGCATTAGAGAAGCTGCTGTTTGGGGACAGCAAATTTCTACTGTCAATTTTTCTCTGTATATTGACAAGAGATTCCACTTTTGTAGTACTACTATAGTAAAAAGTACGGTTTTTGGGTGTAAAATAAAAATTAATCTAGAGCTTTTTTATCAGCAACTTTTGAATTTTGTGTGCATCAAACTGTGGATATTTAATTTACCTTTGCCCTCGGTTCTCACTGGCGGTCTCCAGACTGAATGAGTTCTTGTACAGCAAAAGAGGAATATCTTTCAGGAAACAGTGACGCTACCGTAAATGGACAGAAAAGGCACAGCTGGCTTGCTTATGACATGACGTATCTTGTTCCAGGACAGGACTTTAATTTGACGGCGATCTGTTCTGTAACCGAACAGAGAAGAGCCAAATGTGCGGCGAGTGGAACAGATTTGTTTATTTACAATAGGCGTAGCCGTGGCTCTGGAAGCCCGCTTTGGACACGGCCTATTATTGCAATGAATTCTCTGGCTTAAAAATCTGTAGCTGTGAAATATACAGCATACATGATTTACTCATGTACTTATTTTATTTTTCTCTGTTCTCAACATTTTAGATGCATGTCGTGGGGGTCGAGGAGGTGGGACACGGAAGCGTAAGTATAACTTTAGCAGACAAATTTCTTAACCTGCGGAGTACCGTTTTCATGGCGTTAAATTTGTTAAATTAACGTTGAACGTTAAATTCAAGGAACCCGACTATATTGTACAATTTCAGTCAGACCCCATGACGGGTATCAAATTTATACTTTACGTTCAGGAATAAGACTGAAATTGATGACGCCGCGAATACGGTCTATTGTTGACGTGCAGGGAAAGTCGCCTTGCCACGGACGTCAACGTTGCAACACATGCGTCAGGCGTTGCATATTCATCAAATCGCTCCCGGGGCAATTTTGATGGCCGAACGCAACGCACACGTGGGTGATGTTAAAGGTCGATTTTTTTTTATCCATAGAAACGAAACGCATGAAAGCATCGTACACACAGCATAGGCCTACCCCAAAAAACGTACGTATGGAGAGCTGGAAACCATGTGACACTTTCATTGTTTTCTTCGGGCACCGCCCCCCCCTTCCAAAATAAAATTGGGTTTCGTGGTATCCGTGAATTTTTTCGATACCATGAATTCCCTGGAATTATCTTCATGTATATTCACACTAAGTTTAACCGAAAACGTATTGCATTGAAAATGCACGTACCTCCACCAACGGTAGGCTACACTTCCTGAAATGCCTTTGCCTTTCCTGTTACGTCACAGGTACTAGGGGAAAGTAATGGGTCACGAAGCGAGTTTCTGGGACCCTCGCGCGGCCAGTTAAGGGGGATTTGACACGGGATCACCCTGTCACTATCCGTAATTTTGGAGGAATAATTCAAACTTAAACAGTATATGGAAAACTCATGTCAAAATTTTAGCTTTGTGATTCCAATAATATTGTGAAAAAGTCACCTCCATATAGATGAAAACGAATTTCATTAATGACTAATCCCTTCCTGCATCCTTCATAGGTCTCCTTTTTCATGTGCGTTTATTTTCATTTCCTGTACTTTATGAGATCGTATAAAGTTACGAAGATTTACCTCCCTACAGTCGATGGGTAACTTTATTTCCAAAACCGCATGCTGCTAAACTAATTTTGTTCTCGGTTTCTATTTCGATTTCTCACCCTGAAATTACCATTAAAAATTTTGGAACCTTCGTCTGTGTACGACTACGTCGAGTTGCACTGGTCGTCGTGTATTTTAAACTTTCGGACGTGATAGGTCAATTTTCGGAATGTAATTACTCTTTCTGGTCAAGCCAGCTTTTAGTTTCTATAAATTAATTTGCTAGTGAGGATGTTGCAAAAACTATTTTTAGAGATGACTTTTGAAGAGGTACATGCAAATGAACGGAAAATAGTTGCAAATTCTAAACTTTTCGCACGTTGTTTTTCCTATCTAAAGGTTCCGGAAGCACGACCTAGAGAGGTCAACTGTTTTTTGTCCGTCTCTCGCTTACGTCTTGGGAATCCCTCAAAAATGGGGGGAGGGACTTGGCCTTTCCATTGGATACCAATTGTTGAGCAATGGAATATCACTGCAATGACTCTCAAATTAGCGTCCTATTTGAATTCCGCACGTAGTGTATACGTTGGTATCCGTTGCACGACTAAAAATCAACAATTCGCGATCGCAGACTGGTTTCCTCAGAAAGCCCCGTCGAAAATAAACCGCTGGTATGATATATACCCAAGATGATAGTGCGAGCAAGCGTTGATCTAAATCGAGCTGTTAGAGGACGTGCTGTACGCGATACGTTATAATTTAAGCATTACACAGTTTCTGCATACATCCTTGTTATCTGATAGACGGATCGTTTATCACAGTATCATTGAACGAATAATTCAGTTGCCTGGTTCCTGCCCCTTTTCATATGTTTCATTTCAGTAAGAAAAAAAGAAAACAAAATGTAGGGACGGGAACCAGTCTAACACAAGTAGAGCAGTGGCCGCGTTTCGGGCTCTCGCGAAACGGTGGACGTTAACATGCCTTTGAATTGAATGTTCTTTCAACATAAGTGGAAATTCATTCATTAATTTGTTCATTTATTATGTCGAAGAAATTAAAGGAATCATACGATACAACAACATTAAGATGTACATAAAAATATGAAATAAAACATGAGACACAAGACTAAAGACAAAATAAAATTCCACCCTTTTGTGATCGCCAACTCTCACATAAACGGCATGGGAAAAAAACGCAACTCACTCTTCGTATTTTGTGAATAATTTTTGTTATTTTTTTGTAAAATTACGCTGAAGACTGCCAAGTCACTTTAACCTAGCCCCAACCACTGTAGAGTACAGACTGTTGAAGGACCAGTATTTCAAAGGGCGCCATATGGCCTCGGGCAGAAAGTGGATCTCTTCGTTGACGGAACTTAGTGCCGACAAGTCACGGCTGTTTCGGTTGTGACTGGTGTTGCTGCACTTTCAGAGCAGCAAATGATTTTTAGATAGAGGGGGAGCTCACGGGGGGTATTAGCAATCATAAAACAATTGTACAGGTTCATCGGTGTACTGAGCTACAGACATGACCCCAAAGTTTTTGTAACCACGTGGACACTCGGTGTAACTTTGTGGGCGTGGCCCCTCGCAGGGTGGAGTCAAATTAATAACTATCAATTAGCTCTCCTGATGCCATTTCAGATATTAAATAAAGCCACCCTCCAAAAAGCAGAGGCTTTTAAACAAACAAAAATGCTCGAAACAACAGTCACGACGAATTGAAAGAAGGTACAAAAATGTGCACAATTACAATGGATAGCACAAGTGAAACTTATTTAAAATACCACTATACGACACAACACAAATTACAATACGGGGCCGTTTTCCAATACTCGACTTGGGCTCCGTCGGAGGCTTCAACTTTTTTTACTTCCTGACTTTGTAAGCGCACTAGTAAGTCCAATAGTGCCACAAAACATCAAGTAAGATGCAAAAGAGCCAAACATTACAGTAAGCCTACTTCAATTTAAGTTAAATGCTTAGGCCCACAATCGGGGATTGGTTTCCGACACAAAGTCTGAGACGGAGACGAAGTTGAGTATTGGAAAACGGCCTTGGTGTTTCACAATAGTGCGCCTCCAAGAGTTTGCAACGCACCGGCCAATTATAATTCGCGAAAGTTGTCGAACAAATGCGCGTTTGGAAAGGGTCGACATAATGTTGCGCAAACTGTTAAAGGCGCACTTTTGTGAATCGGCCATATTAGACGCATGAAAAACTTGATACTACGATAACAAAATAGACAAGTAGACGAATAAACGTCAGAGGAAAGTCAGAGGTGAGGATATTGGAAAGTATCGGTCCAAGTACAGATCCCTGAGGGGCACAAGAAGAAACAGGAGCCCAGTTTTAGTGTGCCCCGTCAAATTGTACTCGCTGTTGACGTCAAGAAAAAATAACTTCACGGTAAAACTTTTGTAACTTTTCAATGAGAATACTAGTGGCTAATAACATGGCCAAAGGCTTTGGACCAGTCCTTCAGCATGGCATCGATGTGAGGGGTTTTGAGGAATCTGGAGTTTTTAGCCAGTGATGAAATAGGCCTTAAGACAAAAATTGAGTGACACTTGGTCGTTTGGGTAGAAAGCCGTGTTGGCAGTCTGACATATTATCTCCCACATGAGATTAGTCAGATGCTTGGCAGTATTTTTTCAAGACATTTGCCGACATACGAATAAGGATCACCAGATTAAATTACAGGGGTGACAGTAGCAAGTTTCCATACAGGAATCTTGCCGGTGGCAAGAGAAAGATTAAAATTCGAGGAAGTGGGTGTCAGCAGCTAATTTAAGAAGCATTGGCGAAATACTGTCAAATCCAGATAACTTGTACGCATGAAGTGAGCAAAAAAACCTGTTTAAACTTAGCAACATCGGTCTAATGTTGACTACAAGGACGAAGGAGCATCATTATCCCGAGAGTAGTTGTTTTGAAAACTGAGACTGAAGTTGTTGGCTATGGCATAAGGATCACTGATAATGTCGCCAAAGTGGAGGAACGAAACTGGAAAGTTTTTGCGACTTGAGCTGACGAATGACCAGAACTGTTCAGAGTTGGTAGAACAAATTTGGGCCAAGTTCTATATGTAATGACTATAAGATTTTCTAAAGAGGTATTCGACTTGGTTACGCAGGAATCTCTACTTAGACCAGAGGTGAAGATTATTAACACCCCGCACAGCTGCCTTAAAGACTCTGTTTTTTCTGGTGAGGGAAACTATTTTGCCAGAAATCCAAGGAAGCCGCCTTTTACTTCGCAACTGGCACAGTCTTGAAGAGCGGCAAAAAAGGCCCTTGAAGTTGTCCCCAGGTCTTATCATTGCTCAGATGAGAGGACAAGTGGGAATCTTAGTTGACTTTAGCATGGGGTTTCACAAAGAGCTGATTGGTCACCTTTTTTGGACTGATAAATGGTGCGATTCGTTTTTTCGAGAAGATTTTTCTCCGAGAAGAATTTTTTTTCTGCCTAGAACTAATTTCTACCCATACTGCATAAGCGTTCCAATTCAGAATGCCTGAAGTAATGATGAGAATTTGTACAGGTATTATACAAAACAAAAAATGACTGTTTCACATTTGTGCAGTTGTAAGAATAATTCCATTCGGTGACAAATGAAATGTTCCATTTCACTCGGCTTCATGGGTGAGAACCTTTCATATGCTTCCCATCCTGCCAAACTTGTTCTTATCAGTTAGGCCTACGTTAATGTGTTCCTGATCGAAATGTTGCTGGGAACGAGGTTGTCCCATTTTGTACCTTTTATGCCGAAATAGTCAGTTTCAGCCAGCCCATGTCAAATTATATCAGCTTCTCTAGTTTTAATTTCGTCATTTTACCTCTGGAAAGTTTCGGTTTAAAATCTCAAAAAAATCATTGCGGATGTTGCTGCGCCAGTGGAATTCTCAACTGGTTCACAGGCACCTTGCAAACTTACTGTATACACAGAGCTGCATACCAACACATGTACACGTAGTTGTTGCGCTGGATGTGGCTGTATGTGAGTAGAAAGAACGGATTTGTAACACTGGTGGAATTTAATCTGCTTTGCCACCGTTCATGTTGATAAAGATGGACAGCGATATTGCCGCAATCTTGGACTTCTTAGAATAGTTTGAATATGTAAGTTTTGTCATTATTTCGGTAGAGTCGTAAGTTATACTACCAAAGCGTGTGTGTAAACGCTACGTACATCTTACACGTACGTATGTACATGTAAGCACTACACGCCATACTGTAAGCGTATACCAAACTACAGTATAAAGTAATACGATAAAGTCTTGGTTTTGGGGAAACACTCATCCTTAGTATTGGCATCTCTGTTATACGCGTGTTTTTCTGGTTCAGTGTGACAAAACTCCGCAAAGGCAAATTGGAATTGGGCGCTTGATTTCTGGGTACTAGCACTTTAAGTGATTTTTACTAATCTTAGAACAGATATGACACACCGCTAAGGCATGTAAAGTGGAACTCGCAAAAACAACAAACATTGCAAAATGTTTTGCAAAAACAAAAAGGCGAAAGAATTTATTCATAGAAAAACAGAGATGAAAAATCAACCATGTCTGCTGAACCTAAAAAAAATGAAAATCCAATAAAAAGTTGACCAAAAGCAGAGATCTAGAAATGGTAGACCTAAAGAACTCAACACGTTAAACTGTGTCAAATGGACCTTATGGGTACATGCCAGACTTCAATCTGTAAAAAAAACAAGAGAAGTGAAGAACATAAGAAACAACAAAATCTCTTGTGCATGGTCTACATAGTAGGACTAGTACTGGAAGTGAGAGCAGGGATTGACTTGTCATTAAACTATAAGTGTGCACAGGCCTGTGGGGCTCATTAAGTATTCAAATTCCCGGACATGTCCAAGCAATCAACTAAGGAAGAGAAGACAAAGAAAGGCATGTTCTGGGGCAAATTAATGGATGGAAATACTAATACATTGTACATTACTATTTAGACCAAAAAGGAGTAGGAAAGGTAAGAAAAGAAAAAAAAATCAAAGAAATCGAGATCTAAGAGTTATGCATGAGTGATATATGTTGACACTGCATGCGTAAGTCTTCTCTGTATAAAGCTTGACAAAGTTATTCATTGACACCCAAGGAATTAGTTCAGTGAACCAGGAACATCACATAATGGATTGAGAACTTCATATAATGGATTGAGAAGTTCACATAATGGATTGACCACATCGCATAATGGTTTGAAAACATCACATAATAGATTGAGGACACGATCGAACTACTTTCACAGAGTGACATCATATTTTTGGTACATTTGGCATTCCATAAGTATGTATATCCAACATCCTATTGGTCAAGGAATCATTTAACTTATTGCTGCTGAGACCACCTGTGTGCGAGTGTGTTGCAAATCGGTGTAACTGGTACCTGCTGATCTGCTACATCAAGGAGGAAGGTTCATGGCTACACTGAGAGTCAATCACCAGACCCTGTGGCTACATGTACATTATATGGGGGAAGCTGGGACTTGAACAAATAAAGGGGGGGCACACTACTGGAAAAATCAAGGAGATTTCTAAACTAAAGCTAAACATTTTTAGAGGGTAACTACTTCTATGTAAAAATGTGTATTTAATAACACTCATTTCAGGCTCTGCCATATTTGCACCAAAGCTAACATAGTCAAATGATTCAAAGCCCTTTTGAATTCTCTCACTGCATCACAGCAATCTCAGGTTTTGAAAGGGAAAATTGTTAAGTGTTGTGTCTAAGAATGAACTTGCAATATCCACATTGTCCTCCGCAAAAAAGAGAACGAGCAAACATCTACATTTAGCAGCAGCTTGTCCAGCTTGAGGTGAGTGCTTTTACACTTGGACATGAACAAGCAATCTGTGATACAGATGTCGGACAACTCTACTGTATACTAACTTGACTTGGGTCAACTCGTCCGTTGAGACAACTCTACCGATGAGACATCTAGGCCCTTTTTTTTTTTTTTTACTTAGTTGTCCCACCGTTCAAGGTGTGAACACAACGGAGTTTCAGAGACTGTAAATCTGTCCCCCAGTCCTTCCTCTGTTTTTAGTTTGAAGAAAAGGTGTGGGTACTGTGAGTGCATAATAATTACTAGTCTCCATCGACAGACGGTCCAGTTGTCTCATCGGTCTAGTTGTCTCAACGATCGAGTTGTTGGAGCCCTGAACAATGGGGCTCGTTCCTGTCAATCTGAGGCTTCATATTGCAAGCAGGGAGGGAGAGTTGTTATGGTTGTAGCCACTGTAGCTAGCAGGTTTGTTGTCTGTGGATTGTGTATCTGGGAACCTTCCCCCAGTTTGTTGTCATTGTATTTTGTAAAAACTGGTCGGTCGCCCTTAAACAAAGGCAGTGCTCTGTTTAATTTGCTGACGTACCTTATGTTTTTTTCTAAATTTGTAATTGTAAATTGTGAGAAAAGGTGACTTTCTTACTGATAAATATGAGTGCAAATATGAATCAACCCTGTTTCATAACACTCACAGTTTCCTCTCATAATTTCCCTCAAAACTCAAAACACTGCCGTCTTTTCGTAGCATTAACTGTACAGTTATAGAGCATGATGTCATAGTCATCTAAAATGAATCCAAAAGTTAAAATCTAGGGCCGTTTTCCAATACTCAACTTCTGCTCCGTCTCAGGCTTCAACTGTTTTTTTACTAGCTGACTTTGAAGCTGTAAGCCCAGTAATTAGTCTAATAGTGCCACAAAACATCAAATTAGATGTAAGAGAGCCAAAAATTATAGTAATCCAATTTAATTTAAACGTTTCAGGCCCACAATAGGGGATTGGTTTTGGGAACAAAGCCTGAGACGGAGCCCAAGTCGAGTATTGGAAAAGGGCCTAGGTTGCTGTTTGTTTTAAGGAATGGGGTCCCAAAATCTACAAGTCGACAATCCCCTGTTTCCTTGTAGCCCTCCGTGCCAGCTCGAGTTAAACGCTTTAAATTGTGTGCATCAGGAAAACCTACATTCCTTCCACGTTATTTTATTGGATGCATCTTGAATTCTGTTTTTCGTTGTCCTCTCTTTCCAAGAAGCTGATGGAAGAGGAAACTGTGAATTTTATTTGACTTTTTCCACAGTAGGGCCTGTAATGGGCCTATAATGGGGTGGGGCTTAGTGGATTGACCTATTAATGGCTGATGCCTGATGGTCTAACAACTGGTCCCCCGCACTTTGGAAGTTGTTCCGCAGCCACTGTGTAAAGTTATCAACTTTTGAGAGTTTTGGCCTGTATGATTTCAGGCATCAACCAAGGTTATGCCCAGTTTCGCTCGTTCACATAATTGTTTTCACTTCCATCTTTCGATAGCTCCGGACAAGCAACCACCGAAGTTGAAACCTGGCAGTTGCTCCAAGAATTTGATAAAGTATGCAGAGCCAAAGTCATCGAGTAAGACTGTAACATGGAAAATGCCAGAGACAGAAGAAGAGAAAGTCAAGTTAGTTGTAATCCTTTAAGTGCTAGCTTCCCGCGTAAATGAGGAAATGTTAAAAACTATATGAAAATGTGTAAAGTGAAACATGCACTGTTTTGTTTTAGAGCTGCCCTATCGACATTGACTAAATTTCAGATAGGTATTTTTCAAATAGGTATTTTTTTTTCATTAGTCACACTTACAGCACCCCCTCCCCCCATCAGCATCTCAGAGTCTCCCATTGCATTGCATACATTTTCAAATGGGATTTTGCTGGCCACCTCACTGTTTTTTGCGGCTGTTCAAAAATCAAAATCTCGGGCATTTTTCCTGTGTGATCGTGCAAAACCCTGTCGAGGGGATGGTGTGTGATCCTGTGCCAAGAGCGATGAGAACAGTGATCTTGGTTTGTGTTCCTGCCATTTGAACAAGTGAGCAAGGAAGTTGGGTCAAGAATAGGTCGCCTGAACTCAACCAGAGAGTACTGAATCATGATGTCATTGGAACTAGCAAGGGTAGTGCAAACGAATGGAGTACACACTCCACACCAGTTGGTCTCCACCCACTGGGAAGTCAGAGTATTTTCTATAAAGGACTTCTGAAAGGCAGCAGCTGCCTTCCTGAATTTTTCTCACGGTATCAACAGGTCTTCCATTTTCATGCATTCCTCAATGGGTTGTAAAGTGGGAGTGTGCAGCCATGATGGCTGCAATTACAATGCAGTGATCACAGATTCCTGACTGTGCTTGAACATTTTGCATGAGCACCAGCATGGACGGGAACAATAGTTCCAACATATTCTCTGTTCCAGAAGACGGATCTTTCCTAGTCAGAAATACCACCTTTTGTTCCAAATGATAATCATTTGCTCCATCAACAATCTTTGATTGTAAACTGCCAGTTAGGTGTACAATGTCGTCAGGATGCCACATCATATTTGGAATGTTGAAGTCGTTCCCAATTACAACAAAGGATGAATTCAAACTTGAGTATACCTTCCAGAGGCTATACATGTATATCAAATAGGCCCTGGATTAGAGGTCGCTAAAACTGAGGCTCCAATGATTGCATGTTCATCTACATTTGGTGAATGCAGAGACAACTAGCACCAAAGTAATTCACATTTATCAACCCTAAAGTCTCTTCTTTTGGTTGAGGGTATTGTATCCCCGACAGGTTCCTTGGTTCTTGCACTGATGCGTTTTAGGACACCTAATAAATATTCATGAGCAAATTGACGCATGTCATAGGCCAGTTTTGCTGCTTGTCTTGGAAGTATAAAGGATGTGTGTGGAGGTGATGTCGTGCCATTGAGTAACCTGCTGCTGTGTGGGAGTTCTCTTGATGACTGTTCACGAGACTACATGTACCTCCCTCTGGGTGGCAGGGACATGCATAAATGAATGAGGGTGCTGTTTATTCGGAAACTCCTTTTTTAAATAGGAAATTATGATTGAAGTTCACCTTTGCTTGCTGAAGCTTCTCCATTGAGTTTCCAATCTCAAATGTTAAAATTTGAAAAAATAAAGCAGAAAGAAATTTGAAAAAATTAATTGCCCCCTGACCTTTGCGGTAGTGAAGTTGACCTACTCTCTTCCCCGCAAACCATTATTTTTGTACACAATACAAATTACGAATGTTTAAGAGTGCAGTAGTTGGAATAATTTCATGAGTTGACAGATTCGTCTCATGGAATGGAACATTTCATTAATCACTGCATGAAATTACTCTTCCCTTTAATCATTCATTATGTTTTATACAAAGCTGCATAAATAAATGGTCGCCGCTATTTTACAGAACAGATCTGTGTCTGAAATGGCACCAGGTGGCCTAGTTCCTGTCCCTACAATATATTCTCTTTCTTACTGGAAATGAAATATATGAAATGGGGGCATGAATCAGTCAAGTAAAACAAAGTTCTATTTAATGGGTATAGGCCTACCATGGAATAGAAAAAATACTTTCATGATGCGATCAATGCCCCACCGATCGGGCATTGTCTACAACTATACATGCAGAGCTGAGCACGCTGATTGAATATACCTCAAATTCGCGGCTTGATTTTTAATGTCTTCACTGTTCCAGCCTGAAATGCAGCAAGAGAGTTTTATTGAACTCCAAAATATTGTTTCTGTTTGGCAGAATAATATTAGAAGAGGGTCCACACAGCGGCAGCCGCTTCGATGCCTCTGATTTACCTACCTCCATCAGATACTCTGCCACGGATAGAAATGGAAACAAAGACGCGTACTTCTGTTCATTCCTAGTCAGTGTGAAGAGTAAGTGTTGACGAGTCTTGCTGCATGAGCCATTTTCACAAAGGCCTAACTGCCCAAGATAATCGATTAATTATGACCTTGCATGGTGTGCAGTACCCATGAACTTGGCAGTAAGCCAAATACAGGTCAAATCATGCAAATCGTGGCAAAAATTGAAAGACCCAAAATATGTTTGCTAGACATGTACATGTAAGAGAGGGACTACAATTTTTGTAAGACCTCGATCCAGTTGAAATAACAGTTTAAAATCCCACCATCACAACACTTAATCCCGTGTGTAAAAATCAAAGAATTTTGTTCGTAATCAAACCTATACAGCCAGATAAAACGTAGCCAAATGTCATTTTTTGTACTTGTTTTTCTCTTTCCCTTAGTAAAGACTTGCCCGCCCCACCCGCCAGTCTTCAGGGGCACGTTCAGCTGTTCGCATAACTACTGGTACGGCTCAGAATGTACCACCTCCTGTGATTCTGGATACTTTCTTGAAACTAGGTCACGTATACAAACCTGCCAAGAAAACAAATTGTGGTCTACCCCTCAACCAAGATGCGCACGTAAGAGAACAGAAATTAGCTTGTGGTTAAGCAGTTCTGTGCCTGCCTGTTCATGATGTTTTTTTTTCTATTAGTAAATCATTCCATTCTCACTTGATTCATTGAATGAACTGATATTTCTGTGTCATGCTGATGTAAATTATCTGCAACAAACGGGCAAGTTGCCAATCTTAAGATCCTCCACGGGAAACGGTGTCTTTACAGAGCTTGTCATCTACTTGTACCGTCATCCTGGAAAAGTTTTGTGTGTGAAATGTTTGAGATTTTTTGCTTTTCCGTCGTACCTTCTGAAAGAAAACCTTTGTCTTCTGAATACAGTTTTCGATTAATGAAAATAGAAAATGGAATCAAATACAGTCATGGACACATTGATCAATTCATCAGGTAGCCAAGAATTCTTGCCGCCATAAACATACACAGAGTCAATAGAACACATCAAAGCCAAATAGCCACTGAACAATCACATGCAGGTCACTTGTAAAGAGTTTTGAAATAATGAAGGTAGTTGTGACTGGTTCCCTCTACACATGTAGGAGTTGATATAACCAGAGCATACTTTCACTTGTTTGTACAGCTCAGACTAGATAATGAGCCATCTTGTTTTTTTCACATTGCACATTTTTCATTTTTGCTTATAAGATCTTCTCAAATACATTTGGGCCCATTGTGCTAAGCTACTATGCTCTCTTGGATGTGGCATCTAGTTGTTATTAGTAAGATCATTTTTTCAAACATTTCAGCCATTCAGTGTCCACCGTTATCCAGTGTGTCCTGCAGTAACGCCAACTACTATCTTAGCATCTGTAATCATGAATGCAGTCAACCAGGTTATGGCCGTGGCCCGGGAGAAAGTGCAACTAGGGTCTGTGGAGCTGACAGGACTTGGACCGGTACTGCTGCAACCTGTGTTGGTGAGTAATCAAAAAAACGGCCTCAAACCACCAGTCTCAATTTGGCTTGTGTATTATTAAACCAGTTATTATTGCAGTGTTTTGGAACATGGATATCGTAGCAATTCCTGTGCTGATTGTTGAATGAGGCTTCATGTTGGATGAACCAGTTACAGTTCGCTTAAAGTAATATTGAGGGTCATGCATCTTACGCATGGGTGCTGCTGTGTAGGGATAACAAGGAAATTTTCATCACAACAGCAATAGGCTTTGTGATTTTTTGACCTTGCACTCCGATCCGCAGATAAGGAAGCTCCAAAGCTGAACTGCTCACAAACCATCAGGGAGTTTGCAGATGCTTCACAGATCTACAAGAATGTCACTTGGGATCTGCCACAAGTCCGTGACAACTCCAAGCTCCCCATCAACCTGGAACTGGCTCGTGGAAGTCCATCGCAAGGATCAATGTTCAGCAGAGGTTCTCACTCCATCACTTACCGGGCCACAGATGAGGCGGGAAACACTGCAACATGTTCATTCACCGTCATAGTCCAAGGTGAGTGAGTCATTGTTAACATTAGTACAAGGTTTGATGTAACTACATGAAGAATGTACCGTCTAGACAGGCAGACTTCTCTCAGGTTATGTAGTATATACTGGTTAAATAAGTCTCACCATCCTGAAAATTCAACTCGGTGTCTGTTAACATCTCATTTCACTAAGGCCGAGTAAAAATAATCAAATGCAGTATAGCAGGTAAAGTTTGTAAACGTCTGAATTTACCCACATTTATGCCTCCATCCGGATAATTAGCCAAGTCAGTATGATTAAGTTGTGTGTTCGGTATTGGACAGTTGCCCTGAGGTATCTGCTTTGATTTGCCTCTCAAAAGAAACAGGTAGAGAAAACAACAGAGTGTTTGGATCATTTGAATTAGGCGTTTGAATTCAACGTTTTGTTGAATACTTCTTTATGCAGTCTTGCAAGTAAGCGTTGTGCATGTACATGTAAGCCTTGCTCAAACGATATGCTTTTGTGCTTTCCATCAAAAACAAAACCATCTTCAGAGAGTGAAACCAGTTCTCACACACCCGAATGAAATATAAGAGGTCCACCTCTTGTTACCATTGCAAGACTATTCAGGAAGTGTGTGATACGTTGTAGAGCTCCAAGTTTGGAAATGATACATTTAACGATTGTTGCCTGCTGTGTGGGGCTCCGTGGTGTTTTGTACAGCCGAGGGGGCAAATGCCACTTGAGGTGAAGCCGAGAGTGCCATTGCCTCCGAGGGTGTACAAAATCCGTGGTCCCCGTGAGAGTGGGCAACAATTGGTTTTGTTATAACACGGTCATAGATTACACTGGAAGGGTCTCACATGTATGTGTTATGCATATTCCATTGCAAGATAAATGAAAAGACTTTTGACAAATGAAAACACTTGAAAAGCAAATAAGATGTTAAAGTACCATTTTCAAAAGTAGTACATGTATTTATAACAGATTGGTTTACAGAGAAACATGAGATTCATAAAGCACTGGGGATTTTTGTTGACTAGTTCAATTTCAAGACATTTTCAGTACTCAAATGTACACAGTGCTTTGCTGTCCCCGCACAGCGCATCTCCTTATAAATCTTATAGTAATTAATATGTAATACCAGTGGGGCTATCCATCCTCCTATCCCAGGTTACACAGTCTCAATGCAGTGTACACGACACCTCAACTGTGGGAAAGATCAATATCATCCATCATTTTTTGCATCATGGCATGCCAGCTAAATGCTCTCAGTTGTAAATGATATATGTGTGCTCACACCCTATCACGTAATCAATTCATGACCATTGAAAACTCACTGTCTATAACTGTGGTATAACAAGTGATTTTGTACATTAAGGCACATGTGGCTTTGCCATGTCTTCAACCCTTAATTGACATTTGCAGTGATCCAGTGTCCAGCTCTCCAATTCCAATCTGGTCAGAGGATGATGTGCTCGTCATCACAGTTCATCTTTGGCTCTGACTGCCAGTTTGAGTGTCAGCCAGGCTTTGTTTTAACTGGCAGTGCTAGTGTTGAATGCCAGCGACAAGGGAACATAGGAGTCTGGAGTGCAGAGCAGCCAACCTGTGAAGGTTAGTACTAGAAGAAGTCCTGTGGACACCAGTGGGTCTATCGTGTGTTGGCAAAAGAGAAAGGTTACCCTGTTAGCAGTGACCTTCTGGGTCAACACGTCAGATGCACACTTGATCTCACATTGGCTTAGAGTGTGTGTTACTGTGTCATATTTCCATCTGTAAATGCATACATGTGATTGGAGGCAGTGCGCTCTACCATTAATTGGCTCGATCATCACAGCATATCTCTTTGTTACCATGGAGCCACAAGCTCAAAAGAAACTCCATCAGATTCTTGGCTGGGTATGGAGCTGCAAGGTCAAAGGAAGTTAAACTCATCATCAAATATCCAAACCCTGAGTTCAACCATTTTCCCAGATTCACAGTCTCAAAATAGGAATGGGGGGTTGGTTGGGAGGAGAGGGGGTGAGTAGAATCCCCTTAAGATCTCAGCTGACTCATAACCAATATTCATTATGAATTAATATACATCGGTGAATTGTTTTTATCAATCCAACAAAGGTTTTGTTGCCGCATTTAAAATTGATAGCTGCATAGCTATCGGCCCACATGCACTAATCATGTATGTATGTGGAATGCGGCCCCGTCGCCAGCTTTGGGGGGGGGCACGTCACAAGAACAATACACACACACATATTCACACACCCATTATCCACATTTTACAACGGGGGAAGGCCAGCTGCGCGTCTGAGGGAGGGGTGGGGCAGCCCCACCAGCTCCCCCTAGCAATGGGCATCATGATTGGGAAAAGTTAGCATATTTGGCTGTTCTCTCAGAAACAACTCCTGAAGGCTCGAGACAAAACACTTGAAAACTTTTCAACAACAGTATGTTTGTTCCGTCGGATTTGCCGCTTTGGAACACACAGCTGGAAACCTACTTTTTTTATATACATGTATATTCCTATGACTTTTTGATAATGCTTGAATTGAAATAGAATCATTTGTTTAAATCAGTGGGCACAAGTTAGTTTGAGGGTCTTTCCCTGTCTAGCTGATGTGAAGACACAATATCTAATTTTTCATCTTGCAGCTGTAACATGCCCTTTACTGACTGCTCCAGAAAACGGTATGTTTGTGGGAAATACATCATGCTCAACAGCCTATGGCTCTTGGTGTCAGTTTGAGTGTCATGACGGCTATCAGCTTGCAGGGAGTGGAGTCCGACGCTGTCTGGCGTTGGCTGGAGCAGCTGAGGGCTACTGGGATGGCAATAAGGCTCACTGTGAAGGTATGTATCCAGAATTGAGTGCCGCACCATTCTATACTGCAAACTGCAGGAGAATGAAAAAGTGGTGCTTAACTTTTTTGGAGGTGTGTGTATAGTTGCGTGTTCAAAAAACCATATCCCTTTATTGCTTGGTTCACTTCACTTATGTCACTCCTGCATTTCCATTGCTGAGGATGTCATTGAGACGGAGTCAGGCCCTCTCTTCTTTGACTTCTTACCAAATCTTTCCCTCTGTGTTCAGAGCAAACCTGTCCACGAGTCTACATCCCTCACAATGCCTACATCACCAACCAGGATGAATGTCCGGCTGCTGACCAGATCCCAGTGGGGACCACCTGCCGTTTTGCCTGCCGACCAGGCCACGTGCTGACTGGGTCTACGGAGGTCTCTTGTGGGACAGATGGAAACTGGGATACCACCTTCCCCTACTGTGAAGGTACATGTTATGTCATTTCACTCGCACGTTGTGGCCTGTGTGGGACGAATAACATTGAAGTTTACATCATTCAACAGTTAAATTAAAGAAAAAGTACTGCGATAACTTAAACAAATGTACATCATGTTGACAATTAATTCTGTTCAAAAATAAATTAATATTGTGACCGTAAAAAACTCACATCATACTGACAGTGAGCTGGTTTGGTAGATCAACAGCCCAGGATTATGTTTACCAACAATGAGGAGATCTGTAGAGCATTTTGAAATTTATTTGATAATTACATATGCTTGAATAAATTCATTTTCAAGTGTTTATCTGCATATTCATAGCTAGAGTAGAATAGAGTACCGAAGTGAATACGTCATGCGCACAATTAGTGTGTAAAATTGCATGAGCGCGTGAACCAGCACGTGAACCAACACGCCCCCGTACTCTATTCGTTTGCACTGCACTTCCTGGTTCACAGTGATGTCACACTTCGGTACTCTATTCAAACATGATGTTTTTTATAATTGAATATATCAGGTGGCATTCACACTGTTTTTGACATGCCTTGTGTTTATTTTCAATGCTTGTAGTTGTTACCTGTGACAGCAGTGAGTTGCCTGCACCACAGAACGGAATCAAAAATGGCTGCCCCCATGCTGAGGAACTCTACGGCACAGTGTGCACACTGATTTGTGACCTGGGTTTCATGCCGACCAAGCCCACTTACGTAACCTGCGGTGATGACGGGAATGGAGTGGGAACATGGGATGGAAACACCATCACATGTGAAGGTACGGTCAGTGGGCTGGTCTGATGTCTACTTGGCAGTGAGCCAAGGAAACTTGTAAAATAGTGTCATCTTCGTCTGAGTTAGGCCTCTCTTACTCAACAGTATCTGAGAATGGCTAACGTGTCATCCGTGTGATCTCTGCCCAAGGAAACCACTTGTTTCAAAACTGATCAGTAAAGACGGTATTGAAATGCGGTCTAAGCAAGACAGGTTCAGCAGCTGTCAACTTCACTGAGAGGAAAAAGAGCAAAATGTTTACAATCAACCTACGGCATATTCTTCAAGGGACGAACACAAACGCGACTCCTTATGTCATTTTCAAAAAGACAGTAAATAGTCAATATTGCCAGAAACCGACTTTTTGCAAACAATTGCAAGAAATTGTATTTAGTAGCGCATTAAAACAATAATATCGTGGCTGCAAAAACGTTACCTCGCTAATACCATGGAGGAAGGACACAGAAGGAGTTTGAACTGCCTGGGCTATAACATCTGGCCGATCACCACTTTCTGGCATGCCCGGTATGTCCATAGCCAGAGTGCAGCGCACGCCTGCTGCCCACCACCTGTTTTGCAACCATAAGCTCCCTTTGTACCTCATGATCGTCGCCGCAATTTTTCGCTGGTAATCTGCATCCCTAAAACGTTGTGTACTGCAGTATAGGAAGTTGAATGTTTTCTAGTATTCGTCAGACTCGGCGGCGACCATTATTGGACACTTTGAAGTGCCTGAGTTACTCCTTCTGTGTCCTTCCTCCATGCTAATACTGTGGCTACTACTTAAAATGTGACATCTGGAACCCTGCTGTCGGCAATGAGCTACTATCTCTCTTAAAGTTTCATTCAACTAACTGTTTGGGACCAACTAATCCAAAAGCATTAGCCTGCAGCCGATGCGCGATTTCACAAGATGTGGCATAACTTTGCAACATGTGCATAAACCTTGCACCAAAAACTTGTGCTGTAGCTACAGAATATATTTACCGTTGATTTCATGAAAAGTTGCTGAGGTGCACAACATTTTATTTATATTAAATTTCTTGGATGAGGGCTATCGTGTCTTTTAAAACAGCCGCTTTCCAATAATACATGTACATTAATTATAAAACGGTTGTTAATTTAGCCCGACCCTCAATTTTGAAGAAAATTTTGTTTTGTCTTAACTGCAGTTGGGCTGAAAATCTCAAAGTCCTCTCGCAGTGAACCAAGTATTTATTTCTCCCCCAAAAAGTTTTAAACTGTTTGTATAAAACTTGTAAAGTCGCAATGATGAGCCTCGACCAAACAGAATTAATTAGTAAAATTGTTCATTTCTGATTTATTGCGCCACTTGAAATGATTGGGTAAGTTAAGCCATAAATTGTGGCATAAGTTGCGGACTTCCACACTGTGTAACTTTCATGAGTAAGCTTGTGAGGTTTTTTCGCAAGCTCTCGGACAAGCACTGAGCATACAGTGCTTATTTATATACGTTGGGTACGGGCAAACCGTTATATATAATTAACATCTTCCCAACGCAAAAATACATCTTGAAAATTTCATGAAATGTGTTATAATTTGTCGTACAACTTACGCAGTAGTAAGTGGCATAGGTGGAGTTACTACACCTTACAAATATTTATGAGCATCTTTGGCCGATGTTGTTGCCCGTCCAAGAAGTAGAATTAATTGGCACCCTTAGCACCTGGTGAGTATCCAACTGGCCGCCTGCTGTGCATTAGTTTTTCTGGTAGCACCAATTGAAAAATTCTGTCTGGAACACACCCCGTTGACATGTAGTCTGTGGCATGTAATTTTAACCAAACCAGTCTGTTGCGGTTAATTGCCAGACGTGCAGAACTCTGCAGCTCAGAAGCACATCGCATAATGGCCTTGACTTGTGCTATTTTGTCAGTTTGCTCATGAGTAATGTTTTGAGGTGTTGTACCACAAATTCAGCATGGCTTATTTCTTGGAAAAAGGTCAGCTAGGCTACCTCAGCTAGGTGTAGGTCAACTTGGCATGATGGGAGGCAGTCAAACTGACCAACCCTTTCCAACAGTTAAACCTCGCATCATTTACATATTACGTCATAACTTTTCTTTTTCATTGAAATTCCAATTTGCTTGGCTTTCCAGCTGTCAAGTGTGATCCACTAGAGGTCCCTAGTTCTCCAGGTTACATGCCGTTGTCATGCACGCTGGATGAAGTGGCGGTTAATGACACAGACCAGATGCAGAGTTACGGCACCATCTGTGTGGCATTATGTGACCTGGGATTCACCAGTAGCGGCTCAGGGAGTCGTACTTGTCTGTTGAATGGCCAATGGGATGGTGTTCCACTGCAGTGCACAGGTAGGAATTCTTAATGAACATAGTTGTAGGTTATAAATTATTGTGGTCTGCATTAGTAGGCCTCTATTGCATTTATGTGTTTGAATGACACCTTTTTAAATCTAAAGATGTGGCAGATATAACGCCATGCGCACCCTCTTTGTATATTTTCTGTGTCGGCAGATGTAACCCCACCCACTTTGTATGTTTCCTGTATTGGCAGATGTAACCCCACCCACTTTGTATGTTTCCTGTGTTGGCAGATGTTACCCCACCCACTTTGTATGTTTCCTGTGCTGACAGACATAACCCCCCCCACTTTGTATGTTTCCTGTATTGGCATATGTAACCCCACCCACTTTGTATGTTTCCTGTATTGGCAGATATAACCCCACCCACTTTGATGTGTCCATCAGACATCACCCTGTTCGCCATTCAGGGGACAAGCTTTGCAGAAGTCCGCTATGAATGGGAACCCATTCCGGTAATGGAAGCATTTCTTCTCACATTGACTCAGCTACCAAATTGAGAAGTATTTACTGACGTAATGCTCAGCTCTTGCACAATAATACAAGTCAATAATCTTTCAACCCGTATCCCACAGATCAGAACATTAGCCGACACGCAAACACACCTAGCGTGTCAGGTGTTTGAGTCCAACAGAATTAATGGCAAACAAGAAATCAGCTTGTTACAATAATTCCGGCTTAAAAGGAATGGATTTCTTTCCTGGTTACTGTTTCTTTGAGAAAAAGCCTCTCGCACAATCAGGAATTGCTGAAAGCAGATCTAGTGTCAGAATCAGCAGGAAAAGCGTCATTGTCACTCCAGTCGATCCCATGAGTTTAAAATTCAAGGTTACATTTGGGGAAAAGTTCAGTTGTATCCAAACACACGTGGTGGACCACTGGCCAGTTTCTCTGCAAGTTGACATTTTTCAGATGTAATCCCAGTGAACAACTTTTGTGATCCAAAACTACAAGAAAACGGCTGTATCATACATATTTCAATACTTAATGATGGTCATCTTGCCAGCCAGGCGCTACATGTACGTGATTTATTCAGTGCACTGCCATACAGTGTACATGGACATGTACGTGTACATACATGTACATGCACATGCATTCATGACGCTGGAGCGACAGCTCTGCGTAGGCAGTGGTTCACTGCACGTAGCCAGTCACCTGTGCGGTCTGCGGTCACAAGTCCTGCTGAGATAATGAGGTCCAGAGTCAGGCTTATCCTGTATTGGACCAGCAGAGCATGGTAAACACCACAAAGCATGTATAACAGCGTGTCAGGTTGATTGATACCTTGCCAGTCTGCCTAGACACAGTTTATATCTTTGGATGCCCAGGACATGCATGCAACTAGCTGAGTAAGCTTAATCCTGGTTACTGGACCAGTTTGTGCCCTAATCAGCAACAGTGACGAGAACGTTGGACTGACACATGAGTGCCATGTCTGTATGAGTTGGTACACTCTCAGATCATGTAAATGACAGTGCTAAACAGGAATTATTCAATGAGTGTTGTTTAAGTAGAACTGTTTTGCTCTTGCACCATGGTAGGGAACAGTTGACCGGTAGTTGAACTAAAAGTTTATGCTCAAACTTGCTTCTGAATGAAATCAGACATTGCTTGCTGATGCTGATTTAATATTCGTGTACATTTGTGGACCAATCAGGTCATGGATGCCAGTGGTGATGTCATCGCCACATTGGCCAGCATCAATGGTCAGCCAGTACCAGCCAACAGGACTTCTGTATTCCCTGAAGGAATACATCACCTGGTCTATTCTGCAGTGGATGATAGCAGCAATGAGGGAGGATGTGATCTTACTATAAATGTCCTTGGTAGGTAATGAAACTTATCAGGAAGAGTTGTGCAGGGTGTTGTCAAGTCCATTTTTTCTCGATCTGGTAGTCAACATACTCCCAAAACCAGTTCAACCGATAGCCATTTTCTGCCATTCCCCCATTGTATGTACGTGTAAAAATTGTGTATTCTGTTCGTAAGAGCTCTCAAGACTCGAGCTTAGGACCTCCTTTCTAGTGCAGACAATACCACATGACACAAAAGCCAATGCACTAGAACTGCAGAAAGCAGGAGGTCTTAGGGTTTGATTCCCACCCAAGTGAGCAAGTACATGTTTTGCCTTAGATATAGTGTATAAAACTAGGAAAGAGCCCCCCCCAAAAAGTGAAGCAAAAACAATAGTTTGTTCTGACACAACTTTGGCAAATGGCCTAGAGCACATCACTCAGCGAACCAAATCTTAATTTGTAACAGTGGGGCATTGCGAAGCTCATTTCAAACTTTCTCAGATAGGAGCGTAGTTGATGTCACAAACAGCACAAAATTAATCAGTCTTGGAGTGAATCAAAAAGTGACTCTCTGTGTTTGCAAGAGAAAAAATAAATGAATTATTACAAATATGTTTTTGCATCAAAAGAGAACTTATACTCTTAGCGGAGACGAAAGACACATTAAAAGTCCTCACTGCAGCATTCTCAAAGCGACTTTTGAGAAGTAACTCTTCAGGTCTAAAGGCATCATTGGAATAACATGTGGGTTAGGGTGTCCAAAAGGCAGGCTTGTCAAGGTCAGATTCAAATGCTGATGACCATCCTCATGTGAATAGTTTGCCAAGAGTTCAAAATTATTTCAATTTCTTTTAAAGTTGCAGGAATAAATCTTGCCATCATGCTTCCATTTTTTTTCTCTCATTTTGTTCATGCTGCAGTCACCCGTTGCCCTCCGTTGTACGGTCCCCAGAACAGTGAGACCAGTCTGGTGTCTGGCCAAGGGACGTGTCACAACTCTGCCGTATATGGCTCTGTGTGCAGCATAAGTTGTGATGCAGGTTACACACTGTCAGATGGTAGCCAAGAAGTCACAGCTGAATGTGTCAAGAACACAGCGTCATCAACAGTTGGTTACTGGCAGGGCCCAGTGGTAGAGTGCGTCCGTAAGTACCTTCAACCTGCTTGATTTATGCCTTACCTGTACTGACAGAAATGATATAATATTTGTACTGAGCAAGTTAGCAAGGTCTTCTTCAGTGAGAGTTTCCCCAAAAGATTAATATTTTTCCAAACAAATATGTTTCTTAAACTCTATACTAAATTTGTTTGAATTATCGTTGGTGTGATCCTAACCTAATTATAAGGACACTAGTATTGTTATTTTCCTTAATCTTATTATCATAATTAATATTCCAGTGGAATATTTTAGCAACATATGTCTTAGGCCTTTAAATGTTCATTAATGAACAAGAAATGAAAATGTAGAGATTGTTTTGATAAACAATTTACGTCCCTATATTCACTGGATATGAATGCACCAAAACCAAAAAAATCCAAACTAATTTTCCTGTCATTGTTCCCTCGCAGCCAACATGTGCCAGGTACCAGCCATCCCCAGCGGTTACATTTCAGGCTGCAGTGACCAGGAGGTAGAGTACCAGTCATCCTGCATGTTTGTGTGCAATCCTGGTTACCGTGACAACCGTACATCCCTGAGTAGGACCATTAGGACGTGTCTTGCTGATGGGAATTGGACAGGAGTGCCGCCGGTTTGTGAAGGTGAGGCAAGAATCAATGACCTCAGTCTTGTCCATTTTTTACTTTATTGCTCATGACGTAGCGATATCCTTTGACTTTATCAAGTATTTGCCCCAAAGCGACCTCTTTTTACCTTGGCAAATTTAGTCGTAAGTCGCCAAACATAGGAATCTAATGGGCATTAAACAATGAAAATAAAATACTGGTGAACCAAATCGACAATACCTATGAAATTGAACCATTAACAGACAAAACAGACTGCTGGACAGTAACCAAAAGGACACTAACATAAAAAGGATCAATTCCATAAAAATAAAAACAAAACAATCCTGCTCTGTGTACAGTTATTGGGAAAATGATCTAGAATACACCAAGTAGATTTTGTTGCGGGATGTTACTCAGACCAGGAAGGGTGCTGGGAGTTATATCTTCACTTGTTGACATACAATTGCCCTTTTCGGAATGTGGGTTTGTTTCCATCGACATATGCCTTGTGCAAACTTGCAGCTATTGGCTGTCCAGGACTAGACAGCACTTCACCTCAATTTTGATTGATGGATTGGAATTATCTTGATTACGAGTGATTTAACTTGGAAATTATTGTTATTATTAACAGAGCAGATTAATGATTGTGTTTCTTCCTTAAGAGCGCCCTCTCTGATATTTCATGTCAATTAAGGGAGACATTTGAAAAAGTTACTTTTATTGTTACTTTTATTATGTATGGTCTCAAGTAATGCATCTTAATTGGCCTTAAATTAAATGTTGGGAAAGTTCAGCTAAAAATTGCAAAATTGGTATCCCCTGTTTTATTGAGAAACCTTTTTTTGCTTCAAACAATAGGAAATTTTATTGCATCAAAAGTAAAAAGACATCAAATCAAATGAACAAGATCCAATCATTCTTCACTGCAGCTGTTGTGTGTCCCATCTTACCAAGCCTGGACCATGGTACAGTCCAACCCAGTGAATGCTTCACCCAGCATGGGCTTCCATTCAACACCCAATGTATGTTCACCTGCAATGAAGGCTTCTCTCTCAATGGTCCCTACAGCAAGGTTTGCACTGCCCAGGGAGTGTGGAGTGATGCACGCCCAGTCTCTTGCTCAGGTAGTCTCAACAACCAACCAACCCATTGCCTTTTGCACAGAGATCACAGTAGTCGTCTTCACTTTGTCTGGAAACCTGGATCAAATCTCTTGATTCTATGGATTCAGAAAAACTTGCTAATTATTTCATTGAAGAGAAAGTAGAGAAATGGAGAAAAACAAAGTAGCAGATTTCAATTTGTATGTTAGCCAATGCCATCAGGGAATCTAGACAGGTCACGACACTGACCCACATGTACTAGATCTTCCTAGACAGAAAAATATAGATCATCATAGCCAATTGAACCAATCAATCTTCCTGCTGTGAATTGTGTATGTTTCTGATGGCAATGACTATTGTTCCACATGCATTTTTGTCCATTGCTATCTGGTTGGTTTGTCACTGAACCATGCACTCAAGCTCCACACCCAGTTCACACAGATTCAGAACATAATTGTGACTGTCCAATTCAAAAACCGTTATGAGGACCCATTTTATTTATGCTCTTTTGGTCTCATGTCCTCATCAGATCACCAGCCACCAGCATTCAAGTCCTGCCCCATGTACATCTCTGCAGTTGCACCCCCCAACATGAGACAGACTGTTGTCTATTTCACTACACCAGATGCCACAGATAATTCTGGTGACGTCACGGTGACCAGGTTTGTATACACATTGTAAAATCAATCGTTATTTCATACACTTGAAGGGGTCTATAATGACTGGCTTGCCGTGATGAAAACATGGAACATTTTGTTTCTGGTCAGCCAGGTCTCCGACCTCATTACCACAAGAACTTTTAATCTGTTACACCTACGACTTGTCATGAACCACCGACACAAACACTGCTTTGTAAGAAGCTGTCATTGTCCTTCTTTTGCTGCCAACTCGGAGGATTCTTGTACGTCTGTCAAAGAGTGTTAGTGAACTAGTGTGTTGTGCAACTGATTGGGGCAAATGTTTCTTCAAGTTCTCTTAAATATTTGGCCCCTTGTTCTTTTTGCAGATGGTCTTTTCTTGGATAATGTGATATTGGCACAAATATGTACATCAAATGTTTTGATCAGTTTACATACTTTTTCCTTTTATGTCAACTCTTTGTGTAGAAATCTGGTTTGGATGGAGTTATTGGATGTTGTACTGTTCATATGCATGGTTAATTTTGTCATAATTGAACAAAAAGGGCAAATGTAAGGACCTTGAATGAACTTTGTGGTATTGATAGACTTGGATTAACGCAGGTTTCAAGGCCGCTGTGACATTGCAGAAATCTTTGTTTGATTGCTTACAGTCAAGACCAAAGACTTGGCACAGGTTCATCCTTCGTTGAGGGAACAACCCGCGTGGTGTACATTGCTACCGATGCTGCAATGAACAGACGGCAATGTGATGTGTATGTCACTGTGCAAGGTAGGCTAGCAATTCCGTCATTGACTATTTCAATCCAGGCTCACTCACTACAGACTGATTCTGAGCACAAACTGCTGTCTACGAGAAGCCCATCACCCACGATGCTTAAAACCTCAAAAGAGCTTCTCCTAAGAACTTTGCTGTCCCAGGCCTGAGTTCTTTGAAAGTTGGCAAGCATGTACAAAAACTCATTACAAGAACAACTCTTCAGTTTCAATTGAATCAAACGTCTGGTTTTGTGGTCCTTTGAAGTTAAGGTCACATGTGTGTCAGCCAACATGCATCAAGCACCTCAGTTGGAAAGCATACATTTCTGTCCTGCCTCAGAAAAAGGGACTTGGTACAGGAACAATTTCTGATTTTCACAAAAGTGATAAAACGCATTGTTTCTGTTGTCCGTTGTTTTTTTCCCTTTTCTTTTTATTAAAACTTTGATCTTACATCTTGTATAGTTTTCTCAATGTGCATACTCATCGTATGGAAACCAATGCTAGTCTGCTTTGTAAAAACACATTGCCCCATGAAATGTGACATGTTTGTCAACTAATTTCCGCGAAAGCCGGCCAGACAGTATAATGCAATAAGAATGCAGTAATAAAGCAAAAAAAAGAGTGCTAACGGTTCAAACAAATGGAAATAAATTTAAAGAAAAAAAGAAATCCAAATATATACTGAATTTACAGGTAAGCCAAAACAGTTAAGAGATCTCTCAGAAGACAGTGTGAAAGAAATCAAAATTCAGTAATCATTTCAGTGTCTTCAAACAAGAAATTCAAATATTTGCCAGGACAAAAGAAAGTGAGGAAAAATTTAACTGAAGCACAACTCGCCGATTCAAATATCAGTAAACAATTTACTTAACCAACATCTGCACAACTCTTCTCTTTGGGTCAAACAAAAGTTTGAACAAAAAGCTAGCTGTTACAACCAATAAATGAAAAAATAATATAAATCAAAGTCTTCAAATGATGCCAAACTGATCATCAAGCAATGTATCGATAAACTCAAAATTAACCACTTTTCGGCAAATAAATCAAAGAAATCATGACACCAATTTCAAAGTTTTGTATACCTCCGCATGGCTGTATCCCCCTGCCTGCTGGGTAGGATATAGCCATGCAACACCACCACAAAAATTCAGACTCAAATCTTTGACTCCTCTCTCTCAAGAATGCTTAAATTACTGTAATGGCTGTTATCCACCTGTCTGCTGGGTATACGATAACGATCTGACAACACCACAAAATATCAGACCCAAATCTGGACTCCCCTCTCTCAAGAATGCTCAAAAAGCACTCTCTCACTCTCTAAAAATGCGCTTTCACCTGGAATTCAGTTTGGACTTCCAGCAGGATGCATCAAAAACATGAACATTTAACTAGCGTATTACCATCAGATCCAATGATAATGGGAATCTGTTTGCAATAGAAGTGCTTTTCTGTGGAGATGTATTGCTTTAAATAAAAGATAAGGATTATTGTGTAACTAAAGTGAAATAAGGTGCATGATTGAATTTGGAGGTTTAACAGCTCCCCACCCCATAGTTACACATGAAATGAAGCTAAGGCTGCATCCAAATCTGTTGTCTAGAGCTAGGTCCAGGTCTTCGCTCCGTTGGAAATGTGTGGAGACGTGTAGACAATAGACCTAGCCGTAGCTGTAGAAGCCCGTTTTGAACACGGCCTAAGGCATAAAAATCACAAGCATAAGAAATGGAAATGTCTTTACAGTGTTTTGTTAAATGATTGAGTCTTGTTTTAATGCATGTAATGCACTGTCAAGCATTAAAATTAAAGTTGTGCAATACTGGGTATAAATTATCAAATTTTTCAGAGGAATGTTTGTATTTTTTTTAACTTAGGTTCTGAAGAATGATGAAAAAATGATGCCTGTGTGATGGTACATCAAAATTGTCTGAGGAGGACAGTTTTCCGAATGGAAACATATGCCATATCAATTCTTGTTGACAACTCAATGACATGATTTTGTCACTCAGGGATAACTCAATTGAGGGTCACACAGGAAAGTTAGATTAAGATTTATTCAGTTTAAAACACTAAAGTGCAACAAGTGACTCTGTAAAAGGCTCCTTTCCAAAGGCAATCTCATGGTTGTCAACCCAATATCTTTGCCTTAAATTTCCCCCGTAATCTTTCTATTCCATTCTCTCCCTTGACCCTTGACCCCCACAGTTCAACGCTGCCGCCCACTGCAAGCCCCTGCCAGTGGGTCCCTAATCCAGTGCCCCAGTAACATCTACGGTGCCACCTGCAGCTTTGCTTGCAATGAAGGCTACAACCTGATTGGTCATAGCAACAGAACCTGTGAGAGGAAGAACATCAACTGGGCCAACCTGATCAATGGCAGCGACAACTTCCAGGTGGAGTGGACTGGTGCAAGTCCGACATGTTCACGTAAGGGGCTCTAGGTCTATATCTTAATATCCGTTCTACTGCATAATGCACACCTACAGAAGGTATGGTGTATTGTGTGGTTGTATCCAGGATATTGTATGCTTGTGACTGCAATTGATTGTTGGACAGCTCAGCTTGCCAAGCGCATTGCAGTGGAAACATGCATGCCTACATCAAAGAGGATTTGTATTTTTAGTGTGTTTTGAATGACTTGGTGGTTGCATCCATGATGTTTTTATCCTTTTGATGCTGATTGATTTTTTTTTCAGCCGTTACTTGCCCTGCCCTAGATGACCGGCTCCCCGCTATACGTTCTGGTTGCTTTCAATACCCACCAGCCACTGAGCTGCTGGGAACCACCTGCAACTGGTACTGTCCGTATGGCTATGGTGGAGTTGGTTCCTCGCGATCCATGTGCCTGGCCAACAGCACATGGGATGTGGTTGACTTCTTTTGTGAAGGTATGCATTAATAAGAATTCTTCACAGATCTGTGGGTTTCAAACTTTTGGGGGAAAACAAATTGTGTGGTCTTTGAGATTGATGTAAAATTGATATAAAATTGGGTGGGGGGTCACAGTGACCTTGGATTACAGGTCAACCTTGTGGTTGACATTTCTCAAAATATATCAGAATCATGTTGGATTGATCAGCAAAAAGCAGTTGCTAGAATGTGTTTATGTATTCATGAAATATAAATGTTTCTCGTCATGAAGTTAACCTTGGCTGCTTGAGAGAGTATTGAATTCCTCAAATATAAAATGGACTCCAAACAACAACGGGTATTGATTACGATTGAGGAATGTTCCTGTGTCGAATGGTGTGCCATTAGCTCAATGTATTTTATCAGCGTAAACTAATGTAATCTTCCTGCCTTTACATTTTAGAAAAGAGCTTTGACCAAATAAAATCACAGAAAGTTTGATTAAAGACATTTAAAGTGCAGACTAGAATTCACAAATTCCCATTCCAAAGACTGACATGAAACCGTCATAAAGATGCAAGGGGAGCAACATCAGCATATGTACATGTGCAACATGCTCATTGCAAATTTAAAGCCTTGAAAAAAGTCCAGGCATAAAAATGTGTAGTCTTTCTTCTTAACAAGACATTTGAATTTCACACATGATTTTAAAGTGGATGATTCAAAAAGTTCATTACCAAGGGATGTAGGTTGCAGGGGACTTGATTTTTCTGTATTTAATTTTTTTAAAATAAAATCTTTAAAAATTTGTGCCCATCTGTAATCTTGTCTTCAGAAGGGGTAATACGTTTTGTTGCACGAGTATCAACAGCTTTGATGGGCCCATTTACCAAGCCTACTCTGCAGACTTTTTCACGATTTTGCATTCTCGTGCCTCGGTGTGTGACTTGAAAATGGCACCAGTTGGATATTGGACAAGTTGGAAAGAAAGGTTGCCACTCAATAAACTTTGTTACAATTAAAACCCGCTTGGGTTACATCGAAGATTAATTTTTGTAGTTATTATGGTAACATTGATCTTTAAATTTGGGACTTGATACAATTTATCAATTTGTAAGATACATGGATGTGATTTCAAGAAATTAAAAGTGCTTTGCGTCACTCTTCTGCTCTTTTTGGTCTAAACGAAATTGGTGACAGCTCTCTTTTTAGAGGATCATCAAGAAATTGACCATCAGAGATGATAATATATTTTGTTTTCCAAACAGAGCGTAGCTGTCCTCCCCTTGTCCCACCAGCCGGTATGGAGATATCTCCACCCAACTGCCTGAACTCCCCAACGTTCAATGACAACTGCTTCCTGCAATGCTCCCAGTCAGGCTACAGAGTGGACCCTCCATCCTATGACTTCATCCGTTGCCCTGGCAATGGGGAATGGTCACGTGACATCACCACATTCACCTGCATTGGTAAGATTCTGCGTCTGTCAAAGTGGTGATGATTTCCTAATTATTCAGTCTGTTTATAGAATCCCTCGCCATGAGTGCACCTGTGCTTGCAAAATATGAGTTGAAATGAATTAATAAATGACTGGTACATGTATATGTATCTGTTAAATGTTGGCCATAAAAACATCTAACTTGTCCAAGCGTTTGAAGATGCAATCAAAGTATTTGACATTTGAAATGAATCATTCCGGTTGTGTTTGTGTCCAGTAAAGGGAATTGAACTGCAAGAAATCTGTGAACTAAATATCAAATAACAGTCGTAGTTACATCTTATCACAGCTCTCGAGGTTTAGTGGTACATTGTTTTTCACTGATGTAGTCGTGATGGGAAGACTATTGTAGGTAGCACTGTGAAAACAATTTATTCAATGATACTTCTTGCCATGTGAAAAACTCCCATCTGAAATTCCATTATGCACAGTTGAGATGGGCATTTGTTCACAGACCTTTAAATGCCCCATCCTCAAGCTTTGTTGTCTGACAGTTTCATTTTCAATTCTACTCATGTGTGAGGAGAGTTTATCTGGTTGTATAATTAGATCAACTGATGTCAAACGGAACTGTCTCAGCTAGCATCTAGATGGAATGATGTACCATAGAGAGCCAATGTAATCAGAACCATTTGAATTCATTTGATCTCAGATTACGAGGATCCGCATTTCATTCTATGCCCACTGGATTTCATTGAGTACCCATTGCAAGGTGCGTCTGAAGCCACTGTGACATGGAATGTGATGGCAACGGATAACTCTGGAGAAACACCATCTGTTAATTGCAGCATCCAGCAGCCAGCAGTGCTGACTATAGGAGAACACCCAGTCAGTTGTACAGCTACCGACGATGCAGGGAACCAGGCATTCTGTGACTTTGAAGTCCAAGTCAAAGGTGAAAGATTCACTTATTATTAGCGCAAATTGCAAGTAGAACATTATTAGTTCCTGTCATATATAGGAATCTTTGCGTTGTTAAAAGTAACTCTCTTACCTCCAAGTTTCTTCATCTGCTACCAAGAATTGCTAACTAGAAATCTGCGAATCCCTTTCAGAGGTTCATGTTTATGCTAAGATTTCCGTCTCATCTTCAAATCATTAAAACCTAATTACCTCTGTAAATGGAGTGAAAGCTATCATGTATTACTACTTGAGCTTTTCTTTCACTTGAAATATAATTTGAATACTAAAGGGTACTCTATGTTTGCAACATTGATTTTTTGACGATGTTTATTTGTGGATTTCTTTGACCAAGAAGTCAATTTGAAGTTGAGTAAAACTGGCTATGGCATCAAATTGCCAATGGCAAACTACAGAGCAATGTAGGATGTAGGTTATTTCTGCACACGACAATCTGCCTTTTCTGATCTGCCTTGATCCAACTTTTGACTGCTTTGAGTTGAAAACATGATACAAGATTCTTCACAAATCAAATTTAATCCTTTTTATTGGTTCTCATAGGATTTATCCATACACAGTGCATTTCAGGGTTCTCTCTTTCATTACTTGTTCATTGACTGTATTTTCGTCAATATTCATCCCAGTTCGCGGATGCAGGCAGCTCAACCCTCCCTTCTACGGCGACTTTGTCACAGAATGTGACAGCACCCACGGATCTACTTGCCAAGTCCGCTGTCAGAACGGTTACACCCTGCAGGGTTCAGACACCGCTACATGCTCCAGGAATGCCAGCACTGGCTTGATGTACTGGGACTGGAATGGCCGACGCCCAGCCTGTCAAAGTAAGTGCAGCAAAGTTATAGTTATAACTCGCTTTCAGCGCATCATTATTTGTTCCACTGAAAAAAACATGAACAGTGATTGTATACTTCCCCCCAGTTGCCAGCTGTCCACCTTTACCGGACAATTTGATCCCTGTCGGTGGGGGTGTCTATCCCTCCTTCTGTCGCGGTCCCATTCCTCCCTATTACGGCACCACCTGTCATTTCTACTGCCGCAACGGATTCACCCTGGTCGGCTCTGCAGACCATCAGAGGTTGACCTGCCTCTCTGATGGAACATGGAATCAGCACCTCAACGCACTCAATGTGCAGTGTCAAGGTGAGGCCTGTCTTGTTTTTGCCCGGTCAAGAAGGTAAACGTCTACAATTGAAACAGAGTATTAAACCTGTGCTTTCTCCCATTGAAAGTGGTCAACTGGCTCTGATAAGCTTGGCAGTTCAGGAGTTCACCACTGTATAGGCCCTGAAATTGGTTTAAAGTGAATAAGCCTATTCAACAGATTTTTGGTTTGTTTTTGCACTGAAATATATGTAATTTTGAAAATTTAGTGTAGTGGCCTGTAGTTTCGTCAGCACCATGATGGAATGAAAGTGAATTAATTATGCAGCCGAATAAGCCACTTGCGAGTTAAATTTGAATAAAATCTGGTACACTGTGTTATCCGATTGCACAGAAACATGACGATTTTAATTACCCAGACTAAAGATACTGTTGTTGTACCTCGTGATTCGGGGCAAGCTTTTACATAGCAACCACCATCTTTGGAATGGACTGGTTCCTTAGTGCCCTTCCTTATCCATTGAGAACAGTGTATTGTTGCAAGGCATCTCTTATGTAACTAAGCAAAGGCTTGCCATGAATCACGAGGTATAGCAACAGTGGTTTTAGTAGGAGAATTCAAGTTGTTATGTTCACATGAATTGAAGAACTCAGTGTACCAGATTTTATTCAAATTTAACTCGCAAATGGCTCATTGTGTCTTGCGTGGACAGGGCCTCCGTATCCATTGCAACAAATAGCCTCTTCGAGTTCACAATTCATGTCTTCAACTAGGTTATACCTCTTGGTTAATGCTTGGGTATAGATTGCTAATTTGTAAACACTGTTTTGTTTATAACCCATGCTGATTCCAGTACTCCTAGAAGATGCGATGGTTGAGGGTAATTACAATGTGCGCTTGTATGAATGATGGAGCAATATGTTAGCTATTGCTTGACGACCAGGCCTATGGGTGTTTCGCATTCTAGAACTTTCTAGAGTAGGGTCCTTTATGCTGCTGCGAAATGATAATGCCCAGGGTTCGTTTTGATAAGCAAACTTGAGTGCTGAGATGAGACCTGTGAATTAATTAGAAAAAATTGGATTGTGCATCCGGTCTATCACCGACTCCCCCTTGGGGGTGTGTTCTTGTCGCCCCCATCATCCAACACTGGAGGATGGAACTACATGCACCACCCCACCACCAGGGGGAGCCTAGAATTCCACGTCGGGGCACATAATTATTACTTTTGAAATAGGCAAGATACATTGTATACATGTACTTCTCACAGTTGAAATTGAAGTCAGATATTAAAATGCTGACTCCTAGAGTCATTGGTACAATAACTATACATGTTGTCTCTTGACAGACAACATGCCACCAACCCTACGTGTCTGCCCAGGCTCCCTGTCTGGCTCCATGTCTGGCCAGACCTTAGGCGTTGTGCTGTCCTTTGATGTACCCATGGCCGTCGACAACTCAGAAGCCCAACTGACACTGATCAAGACTCCTCCGGACATTGATTCCCCGTACAATTTCACACGGGACACCGATGTGTCATACGTCTTCACAGACTCTGGAGGGAACAGTGTGTCATGCAATTTCAGCGTCAGCATTCAAGGTAGGATCATACACAATCTGCTTTCAAGTGACTGTATGTAAATATGGTCTAATCACGCAATGTCACCAGGCAAAGTATGACAGGGTGAAGAAGTGTATGCTCATGATGACCAAACTCAGACTAACAAGAATAGCGTTTGTGGCTGGATCCAACAAAATATGAGTCCATATTCTTGTTCGTTGTACTTTTTAGTGTGCATGAGAGAGAGTAAACAGGCTTCTTTGTTTTGGTGTATCAGTCAGTTTGGAATCTTGTTGAAAATGGACTGTATGTCGGTGGACAGTGTGGAAGGTTTCCAGGGATTAACACTATGCAAGATTCTCTTGACCCCTTCGCTCTGGGAGACGGCAAGAGCCGCGGCTTTGTGTGAGGATTGGTGCGTACCACACATACCGTCTGTTCACCATGCAGCTGATGGACAAAGCCCTCCATTCAGGGCATACCACAGCCCAGCAGTCACGGTCAAAAGAATCCCGGTCAGGCATTGTTGAATAAAGGTCTTGAAACGTGGTTGCACAAAATTTCATGCAAGGTTCCTTGTGGGACATTAGGCATGCTGCTTGCCCAAAAGGTCTCATCACTTGGTGTGCTAAAATGAAACACATCATGACGTACATGAAGTCTAGAAGGCAGATTTCAATTTGAATACCGTTATATGTCCCTCTACTCTACAGACAACCTGTCACCTGTCCTTGAGTATTGTCCACCAGACCAGAATGTCACAACTGATCAGAATCCTACCCCGTTCACGTGGCATGAGGTAAGAGCTGTGTCAGTGATCATAGACTGGAGTTTGAGATGATTACACCACATTATATTGGCTGTGTGCATAGCCTGCTTATAGGGCGTGCTACTATAACCATTCGATTGAGCCCAACCGGTCATGTTTCTGCATCAGTGCCTAAGCCCCCCTTGTTAGAACTTGGTGGAATTTGCACGACCAGTGCCCCAGTTTCCTTGAAATATGTAGTGAAGTCATGAAAGATACAGTACAGGTCAGAATTTTAGCCAACGCTAACACAATCGGTGAACCCGACATGCTGTTCAGTATACCCTTTTGCAGTTTTTACCGTGCATTGCTGGTCTAACGTACTCCGGACCTTGTCCACTCCGTCTTACTGCTCGGTTTTTCCATGTACAAAAATGGCACTGAACTACATCCTGGAAAAACCTGCCAACTGTCTCTTTGAGGTGTGCATTTGCATGTGGTTATCCACATTTGGTTTAGACCAGTTTGGTAGAGCCTTCATCACGTGGGTGCACTGGAAATAATGTTTGTCCCAGGGATGAAATTTTTCTGTCTTTAAAAACCAACTATTGAAATTGGCCTGGATTGATATTTGAGGGTTCTTGTCTGGCAGTGTTTTCACTTGCTCATAGCCTGTTTTCCAAGAGCTGACGGGTGACGTGTTGGAGGTCAGTTGCAGTCACCAGAATGGGTTTTCCTTCCGATGGGGCCGCCACAACATCCAGTGCAGTGCAACCAACCTGGACAACGGGAAGACCACGATGTGCCAATTCGGGGTCACAATCACACGTGAGAATTCTGCTCTTTGCTTTTCAAGAATCTTACTTAGTTTAGCCTGAGGGTAGCTGGCCAGCTAAACTTGCACGGGAGGAGAGCTGACAAAAGATGACTGGTCTGGTTTCAAGTCCCTCAACAGAAATGCCTCAGTATTAAATCAATTCATCTCATTTGGAGACTAGAAGACTCTTGATGCAAATTTGAACATTGATAAGCAAAAGAAGAAAGCTGAATGCTTGTAAAAAAATATTAGTGCTCAAAGACATTCCTTTATTCCAACTGTTTTTATGCATTGTTCCAAGCAATTTTTGATAATTAAAATCTTTTCTCAAATATAATCATTATGAATGTCCTATCAGTTCTCATAAAAAGAGAATAAAGATGCGTTTTAGTTTTCACTTGGAAATCCTTTTTAAGGCAAAATAAATAGCTTTCCTTAGCTATCTATCAGAACTGCGAAATTTTGCTTTCTCACAACATAATTTCTACTTCCACTATCCTGTTTTGTCAGTCATGATTCAGTACAGTCCATCCTCTGTGAATTGAGTCGTCTTTTTTCTTTGAACAGCCCATGAATGTGTCGACCTAAGGCCACCCAGGAACGGAGCCAAGGCATGTGATAGTTGGGCCTTTGGACGCTTCTGTTCTATGCTTTGTAACGAAAACTATGATGTGTCTCCCCGTGACATTGCTCGCACTTTTCTGACCTGTGGCCCTGATGGAGTGTGGGCTCCTCCACCAAGCTTCTTCCCACCTTGTGCCCGTAAGTTGTCCTGTTTAAAGCTGTGTAATGTTTGTTCATATTGGCTTCTTCACATGTGCTTTTGTTTGGTCTTTATGTGCTGAATTTGGTTAATGCATTTTGAAGGCAGAGTCAAAAACCGTGGAGCAGATTTAGCTGCGGATGGTGTACGTTGATTCCTAATTGTCAAGAAATATGCAGGGCATATAGACTTTGTGAAAGTACAAGTTTTCCATCACTGGCAACATGTGCCGGCTTCATAGCACCCTTGGCATTTATACAAAAAACTGCACTTGTTTAGATAAAGCTTTTTGCAGCCTTAGCTGAGTAAAACTGAGATGTTTTCTCTTCTTTGTAGGGAGAGTGCGACCAGGCCGGTTGCGTGTGCTGTCTGATCTGCACTATTACAGCGGCGATTGTTCTTCACCTGAAACAGAAGCCCAGATCAAAGAGCAGTTTATCTCCATTCTAGTCAACCAGAGTGGTTTCCATGCAATCTGTGCCAGCTATGCTTCTGAGTGCCATGTCGGTAATGTAGGGGTCACCTGCGGGCTTTCAAGCAGCCGGATCTATCGACGTGATGTCAGCGTCATCCGGGACTCAGTGCTGGACTTTGGCTTTGAGTTTGACCAGCTGAATACTATCTTTCAGCAGCTTAGTGCAGCAGATGAGCTTCCGGAGAGTGCCCAGAAATGGCTGTCCGACATGCGTGCAAAAGGAAAGCTGCCGCCGAATCATCATGACAACCAACGCCGCCGGCTCCCCACCCCAAGGCCCAAACCCAATACCGAGTGGACTCGTAGTCGACGGTCAGCAATGTCACACTCCTTCACGATTACATTCAGCATGGATTACACGTTGCCAACTGATTCAACCTTGTCAGATCTTGATTTTGAAGAAGAAAGTTGGATTGGCTATGACAAACTGTATGAACTAGTAGACAATGTACAAGTCATGGCAGACAGTGGCGGCTTGGAGCTTGCTGTGGATGGCATGGAGATAGATCCACAACCTGTGCTTGAGTATGAGGAACCTGCTCCATCCTGTCCCCATGGATACATGGCAACCGACAGCATGACGTGTGGTATGTCAGTCTCTGAATCCTACAGCCAAACTAAGTTACATAGGCGTCTTGTAAGACTCTGCACCTGCTATAAATTCCTGCTGTGCTCAATAAATTAGCACATGTGTAAGATCTTTGCTGCATGTAATGCCATACAGCTGCCGCCACACCCTGCACAAGTTGAATTTGAATAAGTAGTGACACAGTCTAGAACTGTCCAAACTTATGGTTATTAAAAGAACTGTATTCTTTTCATCTGCTTTTTGCTGAGCCAGTTGGCTGTCCAGCCGGTCAGTTTTTCAACAATGACACTCTGACCTGTGAGGAGTGTCTTATTGGTCGGTATCAAGATGAAGACCAGGAGCCCCAGTTCACCTGCAAGTTTTGTCCTGTAGGAACGTCTACTGTTGGCATTGGGTCTGCTAATCTAACAGACTGCCTGGGTGAGTTTACATTAGACAGTAGAGTTTGAGGGTTGTTTTGGCCCTTAACCCTGTGATGTTGGAGAATTTAAGCACTGTGCATGCAGGCATAATGTACTTGTAACATGATGTTTCTCAAGTGCAAAGTTCCATCCAGAAGTTCTTTGTTGTAGCAGAGAATACCTAAAATATTTTTGTCCACTTTTTACAGGCATTTGCCCCAGTGGTCACTTTTCTGACACTGGACTTGAGCCATGCTTCAAGTGTGAGAAGGGATCCTACCAGTCTGAGGCTAGGTCACTGTCCTGTCTCCCTTGTCCATTCGGTCAGTCTACGGCCAGCATTGGATGCATGGACATAGAGGACTGTGCAGGTTAGTGTGACATGATCGTGGTGTGTGCTAATTGTTCGTTGTGTGATATTTCAGCACAGAGGAAACCTTGATCATGGTTACATGAGTGGAACCTTGACTTTAATGTACAGTATTTGCTATCCAAGAATGAGAGATGATGTTACTTATGTACAGGAGTACCTGTGTTCTGACATTGAGGAATGAATCACAGACCACAAAATGACCCTGAAATTGCAAACTGAGGAGTTGCATACCCTAAGACTCAGAATTATAAACCTAGAACCACCAGTATAGGTATTGATCCTAGGTTTAAGCTCAGTTGCATTGAAATCTTTCTGTGCTGTGTTTTGATATTTGACTTCATAAAGATATGTGTCCTGCTGGGTCATTCTCTGCATCTGGTGTACAGCCATGCACTCCTTGCCCACACCATAGCTACCAGCCTGACCAAGGTCAGAGTTCATGTCAGCCATGCCCTGATAGACACATAACACAGGTCACTGGAGCCACGGATCTGAGCATGTGTTCAGGTAAGTCCCACCGATCAAGAGTTGTAAAGGGAAAAAGGAGCTGACCATGTAGGGACTAAGTTAAGATGAATCCGCAATTTCATAGTGAGTTCTTTCACAAAACTCATCTTATCTTGTTGACTCATCTTTGGACTAAGAAGATCTCAGCTAAGATGTGTTTTTAAATTGATTTCACTATCAACCAACCTCATTCAAGATGCTTCAACAGTCTCTAATGCTCAGGTGCATGCAGTGAACAGGAACTTTCACCCGAAAAAAATACTCTACTTGATAAATTCACACGCAGATAGTTCTACACACAGGTTTGTTTGTTTTGATTTCTCTGCCTTCTCAGTGCGAACCTTCTGCTCCGCTACTTCCTGTCTGAATGGTGGAACCTGCATGGAGCAACTAGAGTCCTTCCTCTGTGAATGCCCAGCAGGTCTGACTGGAGAACACTGTCAGACTGATGTGATTGACTGCCAACAAGATTCTTGTTTCAATGGAGGGACCTGTGTGGATGAACTCAATGGGTTTAGCTGCACCTGTGCGGCAGGATACCAAGGTAATGGAATGAGAAATGGATTGAAGAAAAGAGGAGATGGACCATTTCTCGTGATTTATGTTGGAATTTTGTAGGGTCTGCCACTCTGCCGAATTAGGAAATTGAAGAGTTTTATTTAACTATTTTTAGTTAACAAGCCATGATAATTGGTCTGTCAGAAGGTTCATTTCTGGTGGACTCCACCAAGTGAAATGCCGACTTTATAAGGAAAAAAATGCCACAATGCAACATTGAAATGTAAAAGTAACAATTCCGCGGCTGATGTCACGAAACTTTCTTCAATTGTGCAGCACGATTTACGCCCTATTTTATTGCATATATTGCATAACAAATTCAGAGCGATGTCATGAAACTCATGCACTGAGTAAGTCTGCAACTTGCACAACATACGGCATAGCTTATGCAGTCAATTTAGGTGGTGACGGTTATGCTGAACAAAGCAAAAGCGAATGATTTGACTACATGTGTAGCTCATCATGTTTGGTTAAGGCTCATCTTTGCTGAATTTAGCAAGGCTTATACAAGATACGTACAAGTGTTTTTCAGAAGGTAATGAAAAAACTTTTTGGGCTGCGAGAGAACTTTGAGATTTTTTATCCAGTTCTGATGAAGAAAGACAAAAATGTTTTAAAATTGACTGCTGTAATATTGCAAAGGAGCAGCCATTGTAAAAGTCCTTATTGTCTTTGGCCAAGAAATTGAATAAAATTAAAACGTTGCACAGCTTTGCAACTTTCCGTGAAATCTAACATAAGCATATTGTGCTGCTGTGACACAAATTTGTGGCACAAGGCTTATACGTGGTTCAAAGTTACGTTATGTGTACACAGCTCACCTATTCTAAAAGACTTGATGTTGACATCATAGTATAAGCTTAAAACAAATCCAACAAAGACTGCACATCTACAAGGACACACAGATTATCTGCCTTGAGCAGATCGAAGCATTCCCTCATATGTTGAAAAATGATGGTTGGGAGTGTTGATTTTGCTGGTAGCAACGCAACCGTAACGCGTGCGTTTCATAGTTGTTCGTGAACCAGCAAAGTGCAGTTCTAACCACATGAGCCTCGTTGCTAGGAAAATTGCACCCTCTCTTGGTTTAGCTCGGGGCTCATATGCATATAGATTAAATATGGCCCCCGTGTGTCAGGTTCAGCTTTGAGGGTTTAATCATCATGAACTTCTACAAGTGCACAGTGAATGATGTTGACTAGCACAGGCTGTCCATTGCATACTGTACAATAATAGAAGATATGGCTGTTATTTCTCTTTGTCTACCAGGTGATGATTGCTCTGTGACCATTGATTTCTGCTTGAATGACCCTTGTGAGAATGGTGGTACATGTAGCAACCAGACTAGTGGATTCACATGTACATGTGATGTTGGATTCACTGGTGTCACCTGTGAGGAAGACATTGATGAGTGTTTGATGCATCCCTGTCAGCATAATGGATCTTGCCATAATGTGGAGGGAGATTACTTCTGTGAGTGTGCTGCCGGCTTCATCGGAGAGAACTGTGAGACTAACATTGATGAGTGTAAGTCCAACCCCTGCCAACACCATGGTACTTGTGTTGATGGCGACGGTGCTTATCACTGTGTGTGTATCACAGGCTACTCTGGTCAACACTGTGAGATTGACATTGATATTTGTGCCAGCAACCCTTGTGCTGATGGTGCAACCTGCCAGGATTTGGATGATCGGTATCAGTGCGCCTGTCCCCATGGTTATGGTGGGGTCCATTGTGATGAATTACTGAGCCCATGTGACTACCATCCTTGTGAGAATGATGGTGTATGTACAGAGACATCCACAGAGGAGACAGGATACCAGTGTGAATGCTTGGCAGGATTCACCGGACCGGATTGCGAGACTAACATGAATGAGTGTGCCAGTGAACCGTGTTCTAACGGAGGTAGCTGCATTGATGGTGTCAACAGCTTTGAATGTACCTGTCTGGAGGGCTTTGAGGGTAAGTATTCTTTCCATATTTCCTTAAACTGCCTCTTTAACATGCTGTGTTATGATTGGCAAAAGTCATTGAGCATTTGTTTGCAGACATCTATTCTATGATTCTTGTTTGATAGGTGAAGCATATGTTGGTGCTCAAATAATTATTCTATTTCTCAAAAATGAAACATTCAATATTTGTTTTAGGGGTTTTGAAAGTCTTTGATATCTTTAAAGTTCAGGGTATTTGGAATTGTTTTGATCCACCCACCGCCATTTTTGATTTAAAAAAAAACAACCCAACCTTTTTTTCTTGTAGTATTACACCATGCATGTTGGCAATCCTGTTCAATGCCATGCTGCATACATGTACATGTACGTTCAGATTCCCGTCAAAGCACTCCCTGATGTAATGTTCCTCCTGGATGCAAAAGCTCCTGTTTTACATCCCCAGCTGTTCTCCCGTCGACAGTGTACATTTAACTCTGGTTTCAATGGTTTTTTTTTACAGCACTTTGAAGTCTATGTACACATGTAATACCACGTCCCGTATAAAGCATGCAAAATGTTGACAAGATTTTTTATACTTGTTGATACATACCCTAATATGGCACAGCCCCTAACGTGGTGCACTTTTGTTTTTTTGCTTCTTGTGTCGTAACAATACTTTTAACTCAAATTTCACAATTAGTGAAACTTTATCAAGCTCCTGATATTCTGATGCATAGATCTGAATGCTACATACCTGCTACAAAGTTCGGATGAAATTTTATTTCACCCATTTTTTAGATGTTTTCCGGCGTCTGAAATGAATCTTTACAAGTGCGTCTGAAAATGTGAAAAGAACGTTCTGACAAACTTGTGGATGGGTATTGAGTGAAAGTAATGATGCTTTAAAGGATTTATCCACTTCCAAGATTTTGTAAAAGTTTACGTTAGATTTTCTGAGATTTTTTTCAAGTGCCCCGTGTTAGGGAACACTCAGCTGCATTCTGACATCAACAGTTTTGAATTTCATGACACTGAGGTTGTTCACAAAGGTTCAACACCATTTATCACCAATTTGTAACCAAACAAGTTTTTCAAGGAAGAGATTTGACAGTGCTGTGTGTGAAAGTCAAGTAGTGCATGAGATGGAGTATGGGTTGCCTTTATGGATCAGCCATTGGTCCCTGAACCCAGTGACGGTGCTAAAAAACAAAATTGGGCTTCACCTGACTTGACTTGACTTCGCATGGCCAGTTAAGTGACCGTGGTGACCAACTCTCCGTAGGCCTGACGGTTTGGAGCCAGGTCCATCAGGTAGTGCAGTGGTCGGATCAGGACAATCTGCCACACCCAGGTCAGTCGGGGGCATCCATAGGACGGCACCAGTCGTTTGGTGAAGGCCTGCTGGCGGCTAGCAGGATCTGCCTTGTGAGACTCCCTCTGGGAACAGGGCGACGTGGCCAAGAAGCTGTAGTTACCTCCTCTGGATGGTACTGCTCATCGAAGGGGGGTTACCAGCCTGTCTATAAACTTGCTCGTTAGTGATGAAGTCATGCCAGTGAATCCCAAGAATGGTGTGGAGATAGGTCCTGTGAAAGGCGTTGACCTTCCTGGCGAGGGCAGCTGTCAGTGTCCAGGTCTCACTGCAGTACATAAGGACTGGGAGGACAGTGTAGTCTAGGAGGTAAAGCTCACTCTTGGTTATAAACTTGGTGCTGTGCCAGAGGGGAGACATCCTCCCAAATGTCCCCTGGCGAGCTGAAGAGCAGTCAGACGAAAGCTTGGAGCCCAGGTACACAAACTCCTTGACTGCTTCAACATCCTGACTGCCGATGGGAATTGAAATGGGTGGAGATGGAGAAGAATCCGAGAGTGACTGGATCTTCGTTTTTGCCCAGTTAATGATGAGGCCGAGTGGTAAAACTTCCTTGGAGAGCACGCTGAGGGCCTCTATCTGCGATTGTATCTAAGAGCTCTGCAAAGATTACCACATCGTCAGCATAGCACAAGTCAGTCATTTGGAAATGGTAGTTGACACCAAGGTCTGGGCACTGCTCCAGAGACTTGCTAAGCCAGTAGTCCATGCCAACATTGAACAGGTTCGCACACCAGAGGTGGTGGAAAATCTGATAGAGCTCCCTCTGCCGTCAAAGTGCTGAATAAATCATTTCTCAATGTTGTCTACAAGTCAGCCTTTAGCTTTGTCAGTCTTTCATTAAACTGCATCTCAAGCTTTTCACGTTTCAATTCCTGTATTTCTAGACTTTGCTTCATCTGACAGATAGAATACAGAAAGCTGTTTTGCATGGGCTCATTACATTTTGTGTTTGTTTCAACTGTGAAGTACTGTGACTGCCTATTGGTGCTCAACTTTTATATTCTGCAGGGTAAATTCAGACAGACATTTAGTCAGGTGTTGTATAGAATCAAACAACAACCTTTTAAAACACTGTGAATAGAAAGTTTTAAAACAATCTGAAAAACACATATACTTGAAAAGCTTGAAATGCAGCAGAAACTGTTTCTCACTTTCTTTATTATGTCATAGGGTAGACTTCGGGGCACTGCAATCTCAGTGTCAACATAGGACTGAGAGGAAACCTTGGGAATAATGTACCAACTATCAACCATTGTTTCACTGACTTGTCTCTGTTGATTTCAGGGCCTCGCTGTGAGGGACACACGGACCTCTGCAACCCCAACCCTTGTCATCACAACGCCGTGTGTGAGGCTGAAGGTGAGGATTATTACTGTGTCTGCCCTGCTGGACTGTCAGGCAGAGACTGTGAGATCCAGGTGGATGTCTGCCACGAAGGAGAGACTTGCTTGAACGGTGGCAGCTGTGCACCGCCCTCTATGGACCAACTCTGTCTCTGTATGGTTGGATTTGTGGGTAAGTTCTAGAGATATAGACAAGGGGATTGTTACCAAGAATTAAGAAATAATTAGAATCAGAGTGTGATGAGTCCATCCTTAGGGCCGGCGACCATTTAGACCCGGTTTGAAAAGGCCCCCCCCCCGGTAAGCTCGCCCGGTTGCAAAAACCCCTTTCATACCGGCCTGGCTACTGGCCTGGGATACTGGACTGGTTGTTGATCTCGAACTTCTTCATCCTGGGGTCTATTGTTTGCAAGTACTGGTACATGCAATCTATCCCAGAAGGAACCTGCTTGTGGTTTTTAATCCTTCAGCTCTATACAATGTTTACACTAATCCCCTTAGACCCCTATTCATCTGTGCAAGTATGTTGGGGGAAGCCTTTCATCAGGGACTTTGAAATGCCAATGTGCAGACAGGCCTTATACCGGCCTGGAGTTGGCTGAATACCGGGCAGGCATTATACCGGGTGGGCTACCGGGGGGCCCTTTTCAAACCGGGTCTAAATGGTCGCCGTCCCTTACTGTGACCAAGACTCAGAAGATATCCTCTTTATCAGAGAGTAACATTTCACCAGACTAGAACCTAATGGCTGATAACTTTTACTGACAGAGTCAGCCACCCTCACTCATTCTTCAAGAAGAAAATTCACAAGGCCACAACAATGTCCTCGGTGTGTTTACATTCGAATTTGAGGACCACATGTAAATGCAAGGTTTGGAGGCAATGTGACATTTCGTGAACATTTTGTACCCCTGAGTGAAATGGATTGATTTCAGTTTGAAGACTAACTGTTGAATGCAGACGGTTACTGAAAAAGATGCCAAGCAGCTTAACAGTCTTCATAATGGATACTAATTCAACGTCTGAGACCATTCCAGAGTAGCGGGTTTTACATGTACCCGCACAAAGCTGTCTGGGGAAATTCCAATGGTAAATATTCAAGAATAACTAGGAAACCAGGGATTCCAGATATTCTCCAAGTACATGTAATACACAAACAAATTATTAATCTTTTGTGGAGAAAGATATTTTACGGATGCATGTCACTTGTAAGAGAGAAAATAATAGTCCCACAAATACCTTTGATAGCATGTGGTGATCCCCGAAGTTGTGTTTGGTCTTATTGTACTTCATGATTTGAGACCCCTCATTTGTCTTTTCATTTTCTCCATTTCGAAAAATTTTCTGCCAACCAGGAGAGCATTGTGAGATTGATTTTGATGACTGTACCTCTCTTCCCTGTGCCAACGGAGCCGTCTGCATAGACGGGGTCGACGCCTTCACCTGCCAGTGCTTGGAAGGTTTCACC